CGTGAGAATTATTCATGTGTTCATTTCTAGTAAACAGGGCCCCACTGTTGTGTCACTTTTTGTCGAGTAAGTGAACTCAAATCCATCCGTGCACTCGTCTATAAGATGCTGCACGCTGACGTCACGAATGAACGCCATGAACCCGCATTCATCAGTTTGACATCCAGTGGTGGTTTGTTTACCTTCACTTGTTAGTCGATTCAAGTGAGTTTGAGGTTTAAAAAAAAAAGAATTAAAAGATATGATATCCGACTATGTTCGTTTGAAAAATATTCCTCTCCAAAAATCTAAAAAAACATTTAATATTTTTTTCTAAGTCCATGTAAACAAACCACTGCCAGATGTCAAAATAAGTGAGGTTAACCCGACGGTGCAGCTTCCTATTGGAGTGAAGATAGCTTCCCGGCTCAATGAGATGTATACAGGTAAAGAAATGATCGTAAAATGGTATTCGTGTAGTGCAAAATATGTTATACACAGAAAAAAAAAAGTTGCAACCAGGTCAATCCATCGGTTGTGTAATATAACGTTGTACGATGTACATCGATTTTGCGAACAAAATTACTTCCATGGATGTAATATTGTATCTGCTTTTTGCTATTACATCATTATTTCATACATCAGCTTGAATTACATTGATCGATAATACAATGTTTTTTTTTTGCTGTGTAGTGTTAGTGAAGTATACCTTCCGTGACGTCAAACTCCACTTTTTTCATGCCAATTTTTTAGGAGTTTTTCGTCATCACCTTTGTTAACTCTTTTTTGCTACAAATACCAACAAATACCCTCTTGTGTTGCACCTGTATATACTCATTGTTCCCGGCTCACCAAATGCTGTCAGTTTGTTAAAGCAGTTAAAGCAACAATCAATACGAAACTAACGATTTTAAATTGGCTCACCACTTTAGTAGCCTATTGGTCCCAAGCAAACGATTAACGTACCCTATTCTAGTTGAAATTCTATTACTACACTATGTTTGTTTTGATTCGCTATGAAAGTTTGACAGATAACATCAGGGGTGTGTGGATTCATGCAGAACATGCAGGGGTGAATGAAATAGCTTGGGACTGCTTGGGACCGTTGTTCTGGTACTGAGTGAGCCAAAAATAATAATGATTTTCTTCGGGACCCAGTGGTCTTAGAGTTACCTCTATGGTTAAAGCGTTGCCAGAACTAACGATTAAGTGGTATTTCCTACACTTAAAGATAAATTAAATCAAAAAAGCTTAAAAAGTATGCAGATTCCCGCTTCACCTTACTGAGTTCGAGCCATGCTTACTTCGGCAGTACCCGCGAACCATAACTTGACCTTACCGAAAATGGTTTAAAATTGTTTATAATCCCTGCTAAACTTTATCTGAAATGGTTATGGAACTTTACATGAACGTTTGTGTGATAAAGTTTGAAGTGGTTTTAACCTTATGTATTATGGTTTTTTGGAAGTGAACCTTACAAAAAAATAATGGGTTGTTATCTCATATTACGTTGAACACACTACTATTTTAATCGTATCAATAACAATGAAACGCCTGCTTTAAAACCAAAGAAAAAAAAACTTAGGCTGTGCCGACCTAAACTTAACTCTTAGGGACTGTTCATAAACTACGTAGACATAATTTTGGGATTCTTGACCCCCCTCCCCCTGCGTAGACAATTGTGCATACAAAAAAAATAAAATTTGTATGGGCCGTTGATAATTGTAACCCCCCCCCCCCTAAACTGTCTACGTAGTTTATGAACAGACCCTTAGTTAAAAGTGGCAGATGGAAAGTTATCAACTAACACTGCTTTCTCGACTGCTATCTTAGCTTGGATATTTAAGACTTAAGTACGATTTGCAAAACCGTGGCTGAGTCGAGGGCTGAGTTCGAGGGGCGATCAACTTCATTAATCACTTGAATTGGATTGTTTAACATCGAAAAAGATACTATTTTTTTTTACACCATCTGATAGAACTTTGTTTTCTGAGGACAACGATATTTTTATCGATCCCGTAGACATTCATCTCGATTTTTAAATCAAGATTTGAATATTTGATCCTAGATTTGATCGTTGATACTAAATCTATTCGTTGACAGCTCGCTTCGATACAAAGTCCCACCAAGGGGCGCCAAGATGGTGATTTTTGCTCATGTAATCATACTTATTTAAAATAGTTCCAGTGTACCAAAATTAATGAAATTTTGGATTTCGGTCCCATTTTTAATACAGATAACGAATATGTATTTATCTCAATACCCCTTAGAGCAACGAGCAACCGTACCAATGAGTAAATAATGCACATTTACCAACCTCTATCATAACGCTACTTGCGTACCGGGGGTTGTTATTCAGGTGGGGGAAATAGCAATCCGCACCTTGGGAAGTAGTGAGTTCATAAATTTAGCAACCCGGTAGCAACGCATTAGACGGTTGCTATTTTGAATAAACGTCAAAAGTTTGTTTTGCCGTTGTGGAAAACGGTAACTTAAATTATGACTCTGATAGCAACGACCAGTGTGGAGAGGAGTGATTAAGCCAAAATGGAAACGCTGTGCGTAAGTAAAATAGTGTCGCAAATGGCAACGACTGGAACGGTTGCTCTTAGCAACCCAATTGTAAATACACACTTCGGATAATACACCATAAAAAGAATACGTAAATGCATACACGATGAAACTAAAATGCCCTACACGCAGGCAAAAGAACGTAAAAATTCCAAAAGAAACACTTATGAATTTTAGCCACAAGAAATCAGTATGAATTTAATTGATTTGCCTTATGAAAAATAATGTTGACAAAAAAATAATAAATCGGAGCAGACTGGAACCGAACCATGGACGTTGAGATTACAGAGCTCGTTTGTTGACCACTCGTTTTTCAACGCTTAAGAAAATGGAATGGCTAAAGGCGTATAAGAGCCACGTTATGTTAGATGAAAACCTTTCATAAGTCGCGCTTATGAAATTCATATTTGTCTTTCATAAGTCGAGTCTTATGAAATTCTTAAGTCTATTTGCCTCAGTGTAATAAAAATAGTCAAAAATACCTCGAAAATACTTTGTACACGGAAAATACATTTCATTATGAATTTAATACACTTTAATACAAAGATACTTAAAACTTAAAAAAATACATAAATACGAAGAAAAAATACATGTCAAGTCGGGTTGATGAATGGAAAATACTCAAGTTAACAGCCTCTCGGTTAAAACTGGTTCCAACCCCGATAGTAAAAAATTCGCTATTAGCGTCTTATGTAAGCTTGTTTTGCAACGCCAGCGCAGTTATGTGAGAGGGGTTTTAAGTGGGGAAGTCGGCGTTGGTGGCACTTAAGTCGAATAGGAATCTTTACACTAGTTTTAAACGATAATTATGTTTAAGCCTTAACGTCTGTTCTCTGTGTATATGTAGTTCACTTCCCGAAAATGAATGGAGAAATCAAGAATATTGAATCACAGATAAACAGACATAACATATTGAATAGTTTTCGATATAAAACATCGTCGCTAAAACCCTACCGCCACAGACAAACAGACATAACACTCGCAAGTTCTTCATCGAACAAGCATTTAACAGTCAATTTGAATGTATCGTAGTTGGTAGTACCGCCACCTGTGGCACGCATAGTCAATTCCCTTTCGTTTGACGTTTACACACTACTACCATCTGTTCAGCGTACTACCCACCACAGTTAACTCAACAGGTGGCGGTAATTTTTTAGCGACGATGTTTTACAGTGAGAAATATTCAATGTGTTATGTCTGTTTGTCTGTGCTACCGCCATCTGTTTAGTATACTGTGATGTACGCAGAACAGATGGTGGTAGTGTGTAAACGCAAGGGTTATTGACTATGTGCGCCACAGGTGGCGGTACCACAGACAAAGAGACATAACACATTGAATATTGGTAACGGTAAAACATCGTCGCTAACCCTAATAACCTAATCGAACCCTAATAAAAATAACCATAAAAGAGAGCTTAACGACGTGTTCGGGGAATCATCCAAACCCATCCGGGATACATTTCGTTTATTGTATTTGTTTATTAGGGAAAACATTACCACTATCTGTTGAGTAAACTGTGGTGGGTAGTACGCTGAACAGATGGCGGTAGTGTGAAAACATCAAACGCAAGGGAATTGACTATGCGCGCCATAGGTGGCGGTACTACCAACTAAGATACTTTTAAATTGATCGTTAAATGATTGTTTGACTTGCGATTGTTATGTCTGTTTGTCTGTGGTGGTACTATACAAGCTAAAAACATTGAAATTGACCGTTAAATACGTGTTCGATGAACAAATTGCCAGTGTTATGTCTGTTTGTCTGTGATTGAATGGAAATATTTCGGTTCTGTAACATTCCCCAGAAAATCATTCCCCCGAAAACCATTCCGCAGAAAACTATTCCCCAGAATCTCAGTCCCCAGAATGCACCATTCTCCAGAAAAGCATTCACCAGTGTAAAGAAAACTGGGAACACGGTTTGGGCCAAATACCGGTCTAGTGTAAAAAATATATAGCTGGTATTGAAACGGATCGAGGAATAGTAAAAATCAAAACAAAGGAAGACAGAAGTAGCTTTCGGGATAGAATTTGGATTTTTTAGTTTTTGCTGAAATTAAGTGAATTAAACATTGAAACTTGTGTGCAGTGCCTTTATTAAAAACCGATCGATAAAACTAGTGACTAACAGCGTGGGCAGACGTCACACTAGAATTATACTGATTGTGGAACAAAACAGGAAAATAACACTCGTTGCACGAAGGTGAAGAAAAACTATCAATTGTGAGTAGAAAATATTATAAGGAAATCCAGATTAAATGAATAATTAAACAATTTGCAGTTTGAGCTGTATTTAACGCTGCTACAAAAACGGTGGTGCATTTCTTTCAAAAGTATTCCGAACATTCTCAAAAATTGATAATCGGATACGGATAACCTCAAAGATGAGTGTAAATCTTACAATGACCCCTTGCGCTGCCTGCTCAGCAACTTCTGAGACAAATGAAAGGATGATTGCTTGCGATGGCTGCAACGAATGGTTCCACTACCGATGTGTAGGTGTGCAGGAGAGCAACATCCGTGATCAGGAGATGTGGTTTTGCCCGACGGAGAAGTGCCAGAAGGTTGAAGAAGAGCAGGCAAAGCAGCTGGAAGATCCAAAGAAGAAAGGTAAATCCTCCAAAAAGACGCTCGTAACGGACGAGAACTCGGACAAGTCTAGCGTCAAGTCCGATCGACAGTCCGGTTCCCTTCTTGAGAAAAAGCTTAAAGAACTAGAGAGGGAGCAAAGAGCGAAGGAGAAAGAGTTGGAGATGGAACGCCTGTTGAGGCAGAAAAGGATGGAGATGGACCGCGTTCTGAAGGAAAAGAGACTCAAAATGGAAAACGAAATGCGGCAACAGGAAATGGAACAAGAAAAGGAATTGCTTGAAAAGGCTCTTAAGGATGAGCAAGCTCATTTAAAACAAATGGAGCAAATGCGTGAAAAGTACCAGGCGAAGATAGCAAGCGTGAAGGGAAAGTTGAATGCTACGACTGATTCCAAAAACCAAAAAAGGAAGCAGGATCCACTGGAAGGACATTCGAAAGGCAACAAGCTAGCACAGGAGAAGAACCAAAGCGGATTAAAGCCGGCAAAGGGTACAAAAAGTGGAAAAACGGAAGCAAGGCCTGTGGATTCGGAAAATGAAGACAGCGAAGAAGAAACTGAGGAAGGAGAATCTGATTCTGGAGATGACGGATCGGATGAAGAAAACGAAGAGGAAAATGAGGAATCCGAAGAAACATACGACGAATCTGAGGAGGAATCAGAGGAAGAAATGAAACCGGAAAAGAAATCGAAGAAAAGGCAAGTAAAGAAGAAAGTAGAGCTACACGGGCTGGGGCAGAAATCTGCTGGACCTACGAAGACGCAGCTGGCTGCGCGGAACGGAATCTGCAGGAAACTTCCCATATTCACTGGGAAACCGGAGGAATGGCCTCTGTTCATAGGCAGCTACGAAGCGTCGAACGAAGCATGTGGATACAACGATATCGAAAATCTTGTTCGTCTACAAGAGAGTCTTAAAGGACCAGCATTGGAGAGCGTTCGGGGACAATTGCTGCTACCAAAATCCATACCGAAAGTGATTGACAAACTGCGACAACTCTATGGTCGTCCGGAACAGCTGTTACATTACCACCTAGAGAAGGTGAAGCAGTTGGATCCTCCAAAGGCCGAGAAGTTGGGAACGTTTATTCCTTTCGGAAATGCAGTAGAGCAACTTTGCGACCACCTTGAAGCGGCGGATCTGGAACAGCATCTCGTGAATCCATTGCTGGTACAGAGTCTGGTGGACAAACTTCCTTCATCCGATAAACGCGAATGGGTGCGCTTCAAAACCAAAAAGAAGAAAGCCACCTTGAGGACGTTTGCTGATTTTCTCTCGAGAATTGTATCGGAAGCATGTGAAGCCAATGCCTGCGTCGAGAAAGGAGCATTCTATAACCACAGCGTGAGCGAAAGCTCGAGAGAAAGTAATGCAGTTAGCACCACTGTACCCGAGAATCTAAAGCCTTGCAAAGCGTGCAAGCGTACAGATCACCGGCTGCGGTTTTGTCAAGACTTCAAAGCTATGTCGATCGTGGATCGTATGAAGATTGTTGAAAAAGCCAAGCTGTGTAAAATCTGTCTGAATGACCACGGAAATGCAGTTTGTCGATTCAAGATGCGATGTAACGTCGGCGAGTGTTGGGAGCGCCATCATCCTCTGCTGCATCCAACAGTATCATCAATTGTGATGAACACACACATCAATCTTCAAGGGACTGTCCTCTTCCGAATGATTCCAGTGTCGCTACATTGTGGGAATCGGACAGTGAAAACACTAGCTTTCCTGGATGAAGGAGCCTCAATTACGTTGGTGGAGCGATCGCTAACCGACCAACTCGGAGTGAAAGGAATTCTTCAGCCACTCACGATAAAATGGACCGCTGACGTCACTCGAGTTGAAGAAGGCTCAACAAAGATGAATCTGTGGATATCCGCTTCAGGAGACCAGGAAAAGCTGTTTTTGAAATCCGTACAGACTGTGGAACAACTTCTTCTGCCGAAACAATCACTGGACGGCACAGCAATGTCTTCTGTTTACCATTTCCTTCGTGATCTACCGATCTCATCGTATTCCAGTCAAAGACCCGGAATTCTAATCGGTTTGAACAACCTTCACGTTATCGCACCGATGCAAGCAAAAATTGGAGAACAAGGAGAGCCAATCGCTGTAAGGTCTAAACTCGGCTGGTCAGTTTACGGACCTACAGGAGGACAACCGCATAGACAGAATTTCGTAGGGTATCACCATGAAATAACTAACGAAAATCTGCACAACCTGCTGAAGGAACAATACGCGCTGGAGGAGTCGGTGGTTGCTGTGTCACAGGAGTCGAAGGAAGAAATACGAGCTCGAGAGATCCTAGAACGTACTACAGTGCGCGTCGGTGACCGCTTCGAAACCGGAATGCTGTGGAAAACCGACAACCCAAAATTTCCGAACAGTTTTCCCATGGCGGTACGCAGATTAAAACAGTTGGAGCAACGGCTGGAGAAGACACCGGAGTTGTATGAAAACGTGCGAAAGCAGATCGAGGAATACCAGCATAAGGGCTACGCACATCTAGCGACACAAGAAGAATTGGCTGAATTCGATCCGCAGGAGTCATGGTTCCTTCCCATCAACGTAGTTCTGAACCCAAAGAAACCTGCAAAAGTAAGGCTGGTGTGGGACGCAGCGGCAACGGTAAATGGTGTTTCTTTGAATTCCCAGTTGCTCACAGGTCCAGACATGCTCACTCCACTACCGGGTGTTCTCAACCGTTTTCGGGAACGACCCATCGGATTCGGCGGAGATATTCGTGAGATGTATCATCAGCTACTGATACGGGCGGCAGATAAGAAGGCACAGATGTTCGTGTTCCGAGACTCATCACGCGATTCTCCAAGCGTGTACATAATGGATGTAGCGACGTTTGGATCCAAATGCTCACCGTGCCAAGCGCAGTTCGTGAAGAATCAAAATGCCATCGAGTTTTCTACGCAATTTCCAGAAGCAGCAGCAGCGATAATAGAGAAGCACTATGTCGACGACTACTTCGACAGCGTCGATACAATCGAAGAGGCCATCACTAGAGCAACGGATGTGAGATATGTTCACTCGAAGGGAGGTTTTGAGATTAGGAACTGGGTGTCGAACTCCGGAGCGTTTCTCGATGAACTGGGAGAAGTCCGGCAAGACCAGTCGGTACATTTCAATCAGGATAAGGAAAGCGGGACTGAGCGAGTACTTGGCATCATCTGGGATCCAAGGCACGATGAGTTTTCGTTCTCGATGGAGCATCGGCAAGACGTGCGGCCGTATCTGCTCGAATGTCAACGTCCTACGAAGAGAATAGTTCTGAGCTGCGTAATGGGATTTTTCGATCCGTTAGGTTTGCTCACACCATTCACAATCCACGGAAAAATGGTGGTGCAAGATCTGTGGCGAACAGGCTGCGAATGGGATGACGAAGTAGACGACGAGAGTCTTCGTAAGTGGGAACGCTGGACGGGTCTGTTGCCGACGGTGGAAGACATACGTATACCTCGCTGTTACTTCAAAGAGTTTCGCTCAACGTCCATCAACTCTCTGGAGCTGCATGTTTTTACTGATGCAAGCATTCACGCATACGGTTGTGCTGCCTACTTCAGAGCTGTAATCGACGGAGATGTAAGGTGCTCGCTGGTGATGTCACGTTCGAAGGTGGCTCCATTAAAACTACAGTCAGTTCCACGTCTCGAACTGATGGCTGCTGTTCTCGGGGCGAGGATGCTGCAAACGGTAAGATTAAACCATTCACTTACCATTTCAAAATTCGTTCTTTGGAGTGATTCGCAAACGGTGCTGAGCTGGATCCGGTCAGATCAGCACAAATACAAGCAATTCGTTGCTTTCCGAATCTGTGAAATATTGGAACTGACGTCTACTAACGATTGGAGGTATGTTCCGTCCGATTTGAATATCGCCGACGTCGTTACGAAATGGGGACAAGGACCACCACTGGAATCAGACGGTCCATGGTTCAACGGTCCACAGTTTCTACATAAGCCAGAGTCAGAGTGGCCCGAGCAGCAGAAAGCGAAGTTCAACGTCTTGGAAGAGATGAAAGCATGCATGCTGTTCCACGACGCATCCAGTCCGGTTATCAACGTCAACGTAACGTCACGGTGGTTGAGGTTGATTCGAATAGCAGCCAGCGTAGTTCGGTTCATTGCCAACTGTCGGCGAAAAATAGCTAGGCATCCAATCCTAGTATCGAAGGCGGGACGCAACTTGGAGCGTTCTGTCATAGCGAAACCGGAATCCATCTGGTCGCCGCTGCTTCAAGACGAGCTCCAAGCAGGAGAAATTATGCTTGTGAAACAAGCCCAGCAGGACAGCTTTGAGGAGGAAGTGAAGATATTGGAAACCAGCCGTGGACGCAACCCGGATCAATCGCCGGTACTCGTTGACAAGTCAAGCTGGCTCTACAAGCTGAGTCCGATCATCGATGCCAATGGAATTGTGCGCATGGGTGGAAGATTGGCGCTATCGGAATCGGTTCCTTTCGATACGAAATTTCCGGTAATTCTTCCCAAGCGACACCAGATCACTAGTATGATCATCCAATATTACCATGAAAAATATGGTCATGCCAACAAGGAGACCGTGTTCAACGAGCTTCGTCAACGCTTCTACATCCCAAAGCTTCGATCAACCATTTCGCTAGTCGTGAAAGACTGCATGTGGTGCAAAGTCAACCGATGTCAGCCACAAGTTCCGGTGATGGCACCACTTCCGGTTCAACGGGTCACGCCGCAGTTGCGCCCCTTCAGCTCGGTCGGAGTTGATTATCTGGGTCCTGTAGAAGTATTGGTCGGTCGTCGAAGAGAGAAGAGATGGGTAGCTCTGTTCACTTGCCTTGCGGTACGAGCCATTCACCTCGAAGTGGTGCATAGTTTGACCACGCAAGCTTGTATGATGGCGATAAGGAGGTTCATCTGCAAGCGAGGTTCGCCGGACGAATTCTTTTCGGACAACGGAACCAACTTCAAGGGTGCAAGCAATGAGATGTACAAAACGAAGCAGAAGGTCAGTACAGAATGTGCGGAAAGTGTCACAAGTCCAGCAATCAAGTGGCATTTCATCCCTCCCGGAACACCCCACATGGGGGGTAGCTGGGAAAGAATGGTGAGATCTGTTAAGGAAGCTATGAGAGCTTTAGACGACGGCAGAAAGCTAACGGATGAAATACTCTTGACCACGTTGTCGGAGGCGGAGGATATGGTCAATTCACGTCCGTTGACATATCTTCCACAAGAAACTGAAGAAACCGAAGCCATCACACCAAATCATTTTTTGCGCGGGGCTGTCAAGGATGAGGATCAGATTGTCGATGGGGAGGTTGAACTGGCAGATGCTCTGAGGAACGTTTATAAGCGGTCACGGTACCTGGCCGATAGGATGTGGAAGAGGTGGAGCAAGGAGTACCTACCCAGTATCAATCGGAGGACAAAGTGGTACGAAGAGCGAAGACCGTTGCAAGTGGGAGATTTGGTGTTCATAGTAGATGGTGCACAGCGGAAGAATTGGGTCCGCGGAATAGTTGAAGAGGTTGTAGAAGCTGTGGATGGCAAGATCCGGCAAGCCATGGTGAAGACAAATAAAGGCGTATTTCGGAGAGCAGTGGCCAACCTAGCCGTAGTGGAGATTCCCAGTAATTCCGGGACATCCGGCAGAGCGGAACCGGAGTTACGGGCTGGGGTGTAAAGAAAACTGGGAACACGGTTTGGGCCAAATACCGGTCTAGTGTAAAAAATATATAGCTGGTATTGAAACGGATCGAGGAATAGTAAAAATCAAAACAAAGGAAGACAGAAGTAGCTTTCGGGATAGAATTTGGATTTTTTAGTTTTTGCTGAAATTAAGTGAATTAAACATTGAAACTTGTGTGCAGTGCCTTTATTAAAAACCGATCGATAAAACTAGTGACTAACAGCGTGGGCAGACGTCACACTAGAATTATACTGATTGTGGAACAAAACAGGAAAATAACACTCGTTGCACGAAGGTGAAGAAAAACTATCAATTGTGAGTAGAAAATATTATAAGGAAATCCAGATTAAATGAATAATTAAACAATTTGCAGTTTGAGCTGTATTTAACGCTGCTACAAAAACGGTGGTGCATTTCTTTCAAAAGTATTCCGAACAACCAGAATGAACCATTCCCCAGAAAACCATTCCACAGAATGTACCATTCCCCAGAAAAGTATGCCATGTATTAGATTGACTATTTTTTGTTTATTATAGTTACTCCTGGAATCTTCTTTCGCGTATATAAAAAGAATAGAAAAACTTCTTATGGATCAAGGCGTTTTCCTTTCTTTGAAAATATAAGAAAAGGAAATAATTAATTCTTTGGATAAACGATGAAGAATTGAGTATTCCCTTCTTTTAATATATGAAAGAGAACATGATTAATTCGTTAAATATATAATAAAGATGGGAATATTCTGATCTTCGAAAATTTAAGAAAAAGAAATCATTCATTCTTTGGATATACGATAAAGAATGGAATATTCCCTACTTTAAATATGTAAATAATATAAAAAAGAAGGGAATATTCCCTTCTTTGAAAATGTAAGAAAAGGAAATAAATAATTCTTTAGATAAACGATCAAACAAGGAATATTCCTTTCTTTGAATATGTAAAAGAGAAAATAGTTAATTCTTTGGATGTATGATAAAGAAGTGAATATTCCCTTCTTTGAAAATATAACAAAAGGAAATAATTAATTCTTTGGATTTACGATAAAGAAGGGAATGTTCCCTTTTTTGAATATATTAAAGAGAAAATAATTAATTCTTTGGATGTATGATAAAGAAAGGAATATTCCCTTCTTTTAATATATAATGAACATATATAATCAATAGCTTTTCGCAAGGGATTCGGGGTAATGACCATTTGGGATAATAACGAGTGAAATAATGTTATAAATTTGTAATCGGTAGTTCAACCGGTGAACACTCGTGTTTATTTCAGTTTCCGTTGGGACGTAATTTGTGACTAGTCCCGGTCCCTTTCAAATTGTATCATTATTTATGTACGTTCCTTATATGTATTTTAAATGACGTTTCATTTTCATCTACACGGTAACCGCAAAATACTCAATAATGACTACAAAGTAAGCATTTTCGAGGGAAACTGGGACTACACGGTAAGAAAAAAGTACCCAAAATTGAGTTCCTTTCACTCATCACGTGGCTTCCGTGGGGCTAGGTAAAATTAAGTTAAATAAGAAAACTCAATTTTGAGTAATCCTGAAGTTGACAAAAAAATAATAAAACTGAGCAGGCTGGAACCGAACCATGGACGTTGAGATTACGGAGCCTGTGTGTTGACCACTCGTCTATCAACGCTTGTGAAAATGAAATGGTTAAAGTCGCATAAGAGCAACCTCAATTAAAATAAACTTAAATTTGAGTTTATTTATTATTACTCAATAGTTGAGTAAATTTTAACCGACGCCGCTTTTCTGATTTACTCAACGGCGGACCTCAAATGATAGAACCCAACGTTGAGTTTTTTTTAACTTTATTTTTGAGTATTTTTTTCTTGCTGTGTACCCATTAAATGAGTAAAATTTTACCCATTTATGAGTAATTGCAACTACAAAAACAAGTAGTAAGTATTCATTTTTGAGTAGCAAATACCCATAAATAGGTAATATATTTACTCATTGAATGGGTAGTCCCAGTCTCTCTCGAAAATGCTTACTTTGTAGTCATTATTGGGTATTTTGCGATTACCGTGTAGTGTTGGCCGATTTTCATTCGAATAATCGATAAACCGATTAACGAACCGAACAGTAAAATATATATAATGGCATAACATTTGATAACGGCACAAAAGCTTTTGTAAACAAACTTTCTAAGGCCCTTTACACGCGAGCCAAAGTACGCCCACGCAAACCAACAACATCATCGGATAGGGGCAACTATCATCTTTCCGAAAGTGGTATTGGTTTGCGTGGGCGTACTTTGGTTCACGTGTAAAGGGCCTTAGAAAGTTTGTTTACAAATGCTTTTGTGCCGTTATCAAATGTTATGCCTGATATGTAAGGTCCAGTTTCAAAGAACCATAATATGCTAAAATTTAAACTGAAATAGTCTTGGAACATTATAAGAACGTTTGTTTGATATAGTTTTAAAGCTAATGTATTATATTATAATACATTAGCTTTAAAACTATATCAAACAAACGTTCTTATAATGTTCCAAGACTATTTCAGTTTAAGTTTAGCAGGGATTATAACCATTTTTAGTAAGGTCAAGTTATGATTCGTGTTTATGCGGGCAGTTAGCTGTAGTAAATAAATCAAAATATTTACCGATAATTATGCTGATTTCTGTGCACTGATGATACCAATATTAAAAAAAATAGTTCTGGCAACTCTAGCCATAAAGTCGCGGACGCGACGGACAGTCGAATGTGTGTGAAACTGTTTTCTTCCTTCGCCGCCGCCGTGAAACGTTGCGAAAAAAGCAGATCTCCGGTGAATTTTCTAATGTACGCTATTGAATCGTGTCCGTTTGGGTTTAGATACAAGTGCATAACGATCCGGAAGCCGGAAGTTACAAAATAAGTCCAGGAGGTAACAGTGATATCCAGTGGAACTAGGTTAAAATCGAACGTGCAAATTTTCTCCTGCAAAGTGCTGCTGCCTGCAAGCCAAAATGGGCGCGTATCTATCGGAACCACTCACAACGAAGGATTCGAGCGAAGAGGCAAATGATTTGCTTGCTTGCGGTTCCAGCTCGATGCAAGGCTGGCGGATCAGCCAGGAGGTACGTACGGCAAAGAAATGGGAGTGTAGGATTAAATGTTTTCGCGTTTCGGCATGGTCGTTTTCCGGCATCTTGATTCCTGATTTTGTGGTTCTTTTTGCCTTGAAGTGTGCGGCTTGAAGAAGCCGATGTGAGAGTGAAACGATGCCATGGTTTTTCATGTGGTTGTTGAACTGTCATTTGAGGTGCGTTTGGTAGATGAGGTGTAAAATAATGTTTCATCGTGATTAATTATTCTAGTAGAACCGTGCAGATTCTTAAATTATTCAATATGTTTAATCAAAGATTGTTTTGTTTTGTTTTATTCTTAAATAAAACAATAATTAATTTATATTCAGGACTAACCTACACTCAACGGAATAATTTTATACAACGTTCAGTCAGACTATCACCCATCCCTAATAAAAATTGTATGGTTAATTTGCTTAACGACGTGTTCTGGGTATCATCCAAACCATTTGTGGAATAGTTCAATGATTTGGGTTATCGTTCGTTTATGGTTATTTTTTATTAGGGATATTCTCGTTTTTGTTCGAACCGTATTTAGTTTACCCATATTAAGCGTAAACCGGATAAACTCAGAATATGGGTGGATTTTTAAAATTAAATATGGGTAAATTTAAGTCAAATTTGCTAAACTAACTCATATATGGATCATATTTACCCATATTATGAGTTTGTGCGGTTTACACTCAACCTGATACCGGATCTTAGCGTGTAGAACTAATTTGAAATTAGATTTTTTTTTCCAATGTTTCAGAATCCTAACATGTTGTCCAGGAGTTTTTTTTTCAGTCTGAGATCTCAAATGTTATTCCATGGATGTAACTTTTTCTTAACAATATTTTTTTTATATCTTTATTTATGAGACTTTCAACCCTGGGCTGGTTCGTCTCCGGCTTCTAAACAATAATCTATTGTTAATCTGTCGGTTTAATACATACGGTCCAATGACCCTAGGCCTAGTGCCCTTTAGGTAAATGTGCATGCAACAAATCAAAATTCTGAGATTTCTGAAACATTTCAAATTTTGAACAAAATCCAATTGTGGAAAATTTACAATTTTTACTTCAAGTCTAATACTTTTTAAAGATCCTGAAAATTAATTTTATTTCTCAATTTAGATTTAATGATTACCCAAAAGATCAAACGCAAAAATAGTTAGAAATGTAAAAACAGTCTGATTACTTCAAAAATAACCTTTGAAACGCAAGATATCTACTATCTGACAAAAACCTGCAAAACCGGGAATCCTCAGGGAATTTATTTTCTTCTGAAAAATCTTTTGTGTAGTTTATTTAAAGATCCAGTAATGTATTTCTCCAAAAACTGCTTACTTAACTGCCCATAATCGCAAGTCAGTCCCATCTGTAAAAAAAAACTGGAAATGAGAAAAAGGCGTTCAAAGATTTTTCAAGTTTTCTGATTTGACACTTATGTTGGAGGGATAAATTTAAAAATAAACGTACAATGTGATAGAATGCATCTATGTTTACCCAACAATATTGGAAAAATATCATTTTTTTTTTATTTTATGGCCAAAATCAAAGTGGGACTGACTTGCGATTACATTTAACGTCAATGAGAAAAATAACCGCAAGTCAGTCACAATTCCATGACGATGCTGACGATTAGTTTAGCACAGTATTGAACAGTAGAAAGATACTATGGTCCCATAGAACGTTATTGAATGTTTTTGGATTTGTTCCGCTGGTTCCAGAGCAATGGCCGGAACATATTCCGGTGAGTATGGGTCTTCATCAGACCAGAGCTTTTCATAAACGTGCCAAACCCACCATGCGATAAATCAATTCACATGAGAATTCAAAAATCAGATCAATAAGAGTCATGATGACTAACCAGCACCAAGATGGCCACACCCGGACATGTTCCGGGTATCCCCGGAGGAGTGGTAAATCCTTTTTAAATCAAAATTCATCAAGCGATACGTCAAATCACATGATAATTCAAAGCCATGTCCATTGGTGGTCAAACTGAGTATCGTAAGAACTATATTGGCCACATCCGGACATGTTCCAGATACCCTAGGGGAAGTGGACAAAATCTGTCTTGACACAAATCTCATGCTGCGATGTGTTGTCTAACATTTCTAACACATTTTTTTATAGTGGGACTGACTTGTGGTTACTTTTCGCTGTGGGACAATTTGACTTGGTATTGTTTTTCATTTTTCTTGAACAAACCACTTTTTTTCAATAGTACATCTCAAAAAACATAGAAAGATAAACTGAATAATGATGCTAACTCAAAATTGATAAAAATTGATAAATTGATGATAAATTTAATTCAGAGAACTGTTTTTGTTTTATTCAGCTTCAGGGAGATAAATATTTTGCACTAATATTAAACATAAAATTTATTTAACAAATTGTGGACCTAAAAAAAATTTCACTTGTAGAAATTTTGAAGAAGATAATTATTCATAATGTCGGACATTGATCAATTTTCAACATCACAGCTTCTGAGGAAAATTCCGAAGTGAATTTAATTAAAAAAAAAATAGTTCTAGCGAACTCCGAGGAGTATTTCAAGAATCTTTCGGTGGTGATTTTTAGAGAATTCGATGGAGAGTTTATGATAATGTCAGAAAAATACAAAAACATAATGTTGAGGAAAACTCCCAAGTGAATTTTCAAGGGAAATCTCCGAAAAAATCCTAGGTAATACTTCAAGAATTAATTATAATTTGAAGAGCATTGCAGTAAATTAAAAATGTGTTCTGCAGAAGTTATACAAGAGTATCATGGAGAAAGAGAAAGAGAGAACTTTGAGGATATTCTGTGAAGAAAATAGAAGATGGACATGAGAGGAGTGGGTGGGACATGTCCGATTCCAAAAATATAAAAAAAAGTTCTAAGAGGTACCTTGTCCCACCCACATCTTTGAAGGTGAGGTTGTGACCAACCATGCGTTAAGAATAGCAAACTATGCTACGAGAGGGAAGATTGATTAAAAATATGCTACGACATTTATGGATGTCCCCTAAACTTACTTATGGTTTCTTGGGAAATGGGAATATTTCGATGTAGAACACAAACCTTAACATCATCAAAATAACTATTATGCATTTATCCACTCTGCAGGACGCTCACAACTGCATCCTGAGCTACGATGAGAAAACATCATTTTTCGCCGTTTATGACGGACATGGAGGAGCGGAAGTGGCCCATTATTGCAGTTTGCATCTTCCTACATTTCTCAAAAAGTTGCAATCATACAAGGCAAAGGACTTTGAGCAAGCTCTTAAGGACGCATTCATAGGATTCGATGCGTCTTTGCTCAACGAGAAGGTCATAGATGAGTTGAAGAGATTGTCTGATAAAACAAACGGAGAAGAAGCAATTGAAGACGACGATGAGGAGGAAGAGGACGATAATGTTGATGATCTATGCAAGGAGGCGTGTATGCCCCTAAACGAGGTGTTGCAAATGTACAAAAAGGATAAAAAGAATCCAGCACTCAGCAAGATAAAGGAAGGAAACAGTTCGAAGCCGGCATCGCCATTTCTGAAGGGCAAACGAAAGGGTTTAGCGGAAGGAGATGAGCCCGGACCCAGCTCTAGCAACGCAGGAGCTTCCACAGCCGGCCCTTCGAAGTCAGCCGAAGCTGATAGCAAGAAACCCGGTAGTGCAGATGCTGCAGACTCCACTGTGAGCAGCTCAAGCAACAAAACCGAAGAAGCTGCCCAGAAACCGGAATCATCGTCGTCGGCAACTAAGAAGAATGTCGACCAAAGCGATGAGATAAGCGAATCCGATGGAATCGCTGCCATTAAAGCAAAAGCGGAAGAATGTGCTCCGGACAGTTCCTCTGCCCCTGTCGCTAACGGTGATGTCGGAGATTCTGCTAACAAATCGGCAGTATCATCTTCAGTTTCCGCACAGGAGAATGGGGAAGTCTCAAGCAATAGCGCAAGAGAAAGCAGCACCAACAAGAACATGCCTGATCTAGCGGAATCGTCATCAGGCAGCAAGAGCGCTGCAAGTGTGGATAGCTCGTCAGCGGGATCCTCCTCTTCCGCTGCACCGGTTGGTGCGAAGAAACGAAGCGTAAAGAACGGAGTACCAAATCTCGCGGTTTACGATTCCGATGACGACGATACGGAAACGGATGACGAGTTTCCACCCGTTCAGGATTCGAACGAGACTTCAAGCACGGAGGATGGCGAAGAAGATGCCTTCGGGTTGGTGGCAGTTTAATAGAGTAGAATGTTTCAATTTTCAAAATGTGATTTAATTTTCAGGGAAGAAGTAAGCGAAGAAGAAGAGGATGAAGAAGGCGAAGGCGAGTATGACGAAGAAGAGGAAGATTACATGAACGAGGAAGATGAAGCATTCATGAATAACATCACGGATGAGCCAGGCAAGGACAGCGGTTGCACGGCCGTTGTTGCGTTGCTGCATGATAAGGAACTGTTCGTAGCTAATGCCGGTTAGCAGATTTCGATTTTTTTCTAATTTACAGAAATATAACGATGCTCCGTGTATTGTAGGTGACTCACGGTGTGTCGTATGCCGAAAAGGAAAGGCGTTGGAAATGAGCATTGACCACAAGCCGGAAGATCAAGTCGAATTTGACAGGATACAGAAAGCTGGTGGTCGGGTTACACTGGACGGTCGCGTGAATGGTGGACTCAACCTTTCGCGAGCTATCGGCGATCATGGCTACAAGATGGTATGCTTTAGATGAGGTAATGTTTTGGTGCTGTGAATTACATGTGTTTCTTTTTTTTTACGGTGCACAGAACAAGAAGCTCCCACCAGAGGAACAGATGATTTCCGCTCTACCGGACATCAAGAAGATCACTATTTGCCCGGATGATGAATTCATGGTGTTGGCTTGCGACGGGATCTGGAATTTCATGACCAGCGACGACGTTGTTGAGTTCGTGCAGGATCGCATTGCGGATCCAACCAAAAAACTGTCGGATATCTGTGAAGAGGTAAGATATACTGTGAAATTTGCAACTTGAAACCTATTACAACAACCACTAAAGAGGGCAACTATCGGATGAGAAGTTCCGACATTATCATATTCCTTCTCCGATCCCATCCACAAACAAACCTAACCGTCTTCCTAGCGCTAGGAAATTTTAGTTCAGTTCATGAGCAGTAGATTTAGTAAATTATCGAAATCGGGTTTCTTTTTTGTTCTTTTCACCTAAGACACCACCGCCTCAGTTGGAAACGATTTCATTGTTATATCTGCAGCGTACGAGATTCCAAATGCGTGCTCAAAATGAAAACAAAACCGTGAACGTAGCTTTTTCTTCTAAGCTTTTTACACCTTTTACAAGCGTTTTCCGGCTATCAATTTAGTGTTCTAGATGCATTTCCACAGTTATTAATTGAGAGCTTTCTATGCTAACCAATGCATGAATTTCTATAGTGTGTGGCAAGCACAATCATATTCTATACCTAGGGAAGTCGAGAAATTTTCCAACCCTAAGAGATTTGCCTCGACTGAACCGGGAAACCGCCGCCCCTGGCTTGGTAATACCGTGCCTTGATTAGGCTACCTAAGGCCCTTCTTAGTAGTGTTCTGCCATATGCGGCATAACAGTTCCAGTAGCATTTTTGGCGTACAGACTATGTTGTAATATTTTTTTTACAAAAATCGGTTGTAATTTCATGGTGCTCTAGCGTAACCATGGGCAGTAAAAAGTTAACGTCCAACTCCGAGCGCTACATAACAACGTTACCACGTCGTCGCACAACGACTATGATATGAACGGTGCTATAGGTGGGCTGCTTGGATTAGCACTTTTATGATTGAATAAAGATTCAAAGATACGTGAGGTTTTTTGATGCAATCGGAATCCGCACAACAGCCGCAAATCTACTGGTGGAGACGTTCTCATAGCGGTCGGCTCTGGATTGAAGGCAAAAGTTATCGAAAACGATTCATGGAATAGTGTGGAGCAAGTTTGGATTTCCATTAAGCTCGCTGGCCGCACTTTGTTTTTGTGTGTAGTTTACTTTCCTCCGGATCGAACTAGCGACTCTACGCTAATTGAATCCCACAGTCAGTCTATTCGAACTATAATGGAGATCGCTACAGCGCCTGACGAGATGATAATCATTGGCGACTTCAATCTACCGGCAATTTCTTGGCGATCATCTTACGGTGGATTCCTGTATCAGGACCACGACCCTTCTACATTTAACTCTGGAGCTGTAAGTCTTTTGGATCATTACAGTATCTCCACTCTGAAGCAAATCAACCACGTGGTTAATGAGAACAATCGTAGCTTAGACCTTTGCTTCGTCACGGCTCAGGATACTGCTCCGCATTTGTCTATGGCTGTTTCTCCGTTGATAATGACTGTTCCACACCATCCTCCTTTAGTTATTGCACTTGAAGGCAACCCAATTCCTGAGGTCATTCCTGGTTTCCAGGTCATTTTGAGATGTTTCCAATTGCATAAGAAGGGATGTAAAAGAAATATCTACAACTATCGCGGCATCACATCGTTGTGCGCCATATTTAAACTGTTCGAGTTGGTAGTTATGGAACCATTAGTCTCTCACTTCAAGCGAAGACCAGCATGGTTTCATGGCAGGGCGGTCGACTACTTCCAACCTTCTGTGTCTCACCTCATACATTACGGAGAGTATGACAGACCATACCCAAGTAACAATTTCGGTTTTATAAGGGTTCTGTAGACCATGATTTAGACTTGTAGCATGCTTTAAAACCTCAATAAAACTCTCAATGTTACTTGGGTATGCAAACAGATGTCATCTACACTGACCTATCAGCCGCCTTCGACAAGTTGAACCATCCTATAGCGAACGCCGGTATAAACGGCAGTCTCCTACGATGGTTCGCATCCTATCTATCTGATCGTCAGTTGGAAGTTGCAATCGACGACTGCCGATCTGCTTCGTTCCCTGCCACTTCGGGTATTCCGCAAGGTAGCCACCTCGGCCCGTTGATATTTCTTGTGTATTTCAACGACGTCAATTTCGTCCTTGACTGTCGTTCGCAGGCGGCATGAAAATCTATCTCCGAATCCAAGCCATCGCTGACTGCCACCTTCTCCAACTCCAACTCAACGCTTTTGCTAATTGGTGCCAACTGAACCGCATGGTTGTAAATCCAACAAAATGTTCAGTAATCACGTTCTCACGGAAGTAACATACGATTACATTCAGTTATATCCTAGAAGGCGTTGACGTACGTGTGAATCACATAAAGGATCAGGATCTGGGAGTCATCTTCGATTGTCAACTCACATACAGCCAGCATATCTCGTACGTGATCGACAAGGCATCCAGAACGCTCGGATTAATTTTCAGGATAGCTAAAAGTTTCACGGACATCTACTGTTTGAAGTCGCTTTACTGCTCCCTCGTCCGGTCGGTGTTAGAATACTGCTGCCCTGTATGGAATCCCAATTACCAAAACAGTGTACAAAGAGTAGAAACGACGATTCATCTGGTTTGCCCTTCGACGATTGCCCTTGGAGGGATCTTCATCGACTTCCAAGCTACGAAAGTCAGTGCCAGTTAATTCACCTGGATTCTTTGTGCAGAATCGATTGTCCTTCTATTCTACAACAAATCGACGTTGATGTTCAACCACGAGCACTCCGTAACAACGCAATGCTGATGATACCTTTTCATCGTACAAACTAGAGATCGTATGGTGCTATCAATGGTCTACAAAGGATTTTCAATCGTGTTGCTTCCTTATTTGTTTTTCACTTGGCACGCGACTCGCTGCGTCAGAGATTCCGTGATATATTTTTAAGAATTAGGAATTAAGTTGGATTTCACGGCCTTTGCAGCTTGTTACTTCTTGACTATATTGTATTTCCTAGTATTGCTTAATCCATCATTAGGACTAAACCCAGTCTGTTGATGTAGAACCAAATAAACAAATACGTAGACAAGCGGCTTTATTGAGTATTCTAGGTCTTCTGGTTAGCTCAGTGAATTTGCTTCTCAGTTCTCAGTGAAGTTTTAGTATTGTGAAGTTGCTGGTAATGCAATAGAGATGGAATTAACTCACATAATTTTTGAGATGAAAGTAATGTTTATACGATTTCCCACCGGAAATCCATACCATTCGGCTGCGAATTTGCGTTTGATTAAGCATATTATCCGGAATAACTTTCTTGTGAAGCTGGGTCTCAACATGTGCTCAAGGGACAAAATATATAACCTAGCGTTGAGTTCAGATACATTTAGAAAAGGTCTTAGTAAGCTTTTTATGTAGATTCATATCGAGATGGTTGCAGTTTCCTTTACACATCGCTATCAATCATAGTAACAGCCCGGTTTCTGCTTGAACTGATTACCTGGCGCTAACCACGTTTAAAATTTGTGAATCTAGAAAAATGCGGTGCCTGTCGAACACTTTATTCAATTTGAGATTGTACTGAACCACTCTTCATGGGTTAAAGGTCCATGTGGTATTTTATGAAAAAATGTCCAGGAAACTCTAGTACATATCTTAGGAAAGTAATAGCTGATGGTCGTCTAAGACAGGATGGTACTGTACCTGTAATGTTGTTTGAAAATTACTGTAATATCAGGGAATATCTGGGAATTTGGTTTTCTTCAATAAGTGCACAGTCTGAATCAGTAAATAGAGCAAATGGTTCATTATGATCAGCACGCATCTTACACGAGTGGATTAGTCGTTTAAACGCATGTTTGGAACTTATGTTGTGACTTTTTTACGCAAATTTTGAACAAATTAATGAGTGTTGTATGGAGGTCACGCGGTACATTTCTTTCAAGGTTACTCTGGATACCGAATGTAAATCGATGGCATTGGATACTAGGACCTGGCCTTGTGGGATAAGACATCAGGAATTCATACAACGATACAACGTATGGAAATCATGAAAATAGATACAATTTGTTTCGAATTCAGAACGTCAAGGTTTGTCATAAATCATCAACGAAGTTGAAAATGTAGACACTATCACAAAAGTCATTATAACTTCAGGGTTGCTAAACTCATGAGGTATTGACTCCTTGATTGACACTTCGGCCTACTTCGGCACGTTCGGCGCAACACTTGGTACAGCTTTCGGCACAGCTAAATATCGCGGCACACATTACGATGTGCAGAGTTAAATACCATTTAGAATTCATTAATTATTGTTAATGTAGATCAGTGAAGGTTGTTTAAATAGTTTAGTCCATAGGCATTAACATTCCAACACGGTGGATAAAAATCATTACGCCGACTACGAAGTCTCAGAAAAACGTGTAACGGCAAGTTTGCAATGACATAGCTTAGCCATTTATTGATGAATCTAAAAAGTTATGATACCACTAGAATTCCTAGGGTCTATAAATTATTTTGATATTAAATTAGTTGAAAATAGGGTCGTCTACGAAAAGAGTCGTTACATGTTTTTTTTTCAAAGGTGTTTTATAGGTTTTGCAAGTGGCTTAAGATCTATAATTTTTATTAATAGGCACAAATGTTAATATAAGCCAGAATATAGTCATGGTTCCTATATATGGGTCCTGAAGACAACGGAACGGTCCTCTGGAAGATTTAGAATATCCGTAAAAGTGGTCAATCCATGAAACTGATCCTGTGGGTTTTTATTAAACCATTAGGAACTGTGATATAAGAATGTATTTTGGATCGCGACATAAACATGGACCCCTAGATGGCCATGGGAGCATCCTCCGGAAGATCCAGAACATCCGCAAAAGTGGTCCGTTTATGAAACTGCTCTTAGAGGTCCACAGATCTTCGAAAACATTCGAATGAATTTGGGGTCGTGACATAAACATGGACCCAGATGGCTATGGGACCGTCCTCCGGAAGAAAACAGGAATTTTAGGGTTGATGGTGACGCGGTAAGATATGATAGGGTACTAATAGCATTCAATTACGACTGCGTCTCGATCATATCTCCGGAATCTATTGAGCCGATTGTAGAATATTCAATAGTGTTTTAAATGGACACTTTGGGGTTGTCAAATTTAGTGCAGGCACATCCGAGGTGGGACCTGTCTTAGCTCAGTCGGTAAAGGTGCAGTTATAAAGCAAGACCATGCTGATAAACGTAGGTGGATTCGATTCCCGGTCCGGTCTACGAATTTTTCTGGTTGAAAACTATCTCGACTTCCCTCGGCATAGATTATGGTAGTACCACAGACAAACAGACATGACACATTGAATATTTCTCACTATAAAACATCGTCGCTAAAACATTACCGCCATATTTTGAGTACATTGTGGTGGGAACTACGTTGAACAGATGGCGGTAGTGTGAAAACGTCGAACGCAAGGGATTTAAATATGCGCGCCACAGGTGGCAATACTACCAACTACGATACTTTTAAATTTATTTATTTTATTTTATTTTATTTTTTTATTTGTGGTTGTACTTGCCACACAATTATACTAATTAAAAAATGGTACAGTATTAGAACGCTCTCAATTAACAACACTGTTGAAATGTATCTAGAACACTAAGTTGAAGGCCGGCATAAGGTCTCAGTAGGGACTTTAGAATACAAAGGAAGAAGAACATGTGAGGTACCTACTGCCCAATAATTTGTTTTCGTCTTGAAACAGCGAAACCTATCCTGAGGAAATCTTTCCATAAGAACCAATTCGCCACAAGATTTTATATGAAAATAACAAGTTTGACTGATGAAACATAATTTATAAGTCAAAACAGTGAAGTTCATAAATCAGCTTATGAAACATTAAAAAGTGTAATATTAACGCTTGAGAAATCAAATTTACTAAGAGCGAAGACAATATATCAAGAAGACGGGCTACTTTGCCAGAATCCAAGCGATAGATAAAGTAGCGCTGCGCTTGGGCGAAGGTGGAAGCAATGTATAGAAGAATAAGCAAATACACATACCTTTCTTATATGGTTGAAATCATCGCGATAACATTCGATACGAGCATTTACCTTTGAGCGGCAGATAACGTAATTGTACCAGCTCCCTCCCCATGGACATGGAGGTTGACGGTACTGAAGCAAAGTTTTATGTTTAATTTCTTTATATTTGCAACGATGATGATTTCCTATAGTGACACATATCACCTTCTTAATGCTTCAGTATGCCTTAAACGATTAATTCTTGGTTGTTAATAGAACTTCCTTGATAAAATCAGCTGCTTCATGCAGACTGAGCAATTCTGATTATAGTATCAGATTTGTTCTGTATACAGAGGAACTTATTAGAAACTTCTCACCAATAAAGTTATGATCTTCTAGTAAATTTTGCATATCTTTTTATTCATATTTTATTTTATTCAAACATATTATTTTTGTTACAGTCAATTAGCATTAGCTAAGAGAGATTCAATATTACTTGCTCGTTTTTGCGTAAAATAATCAATATTTTTTGTACTTGTAATTACCTTTGAAAGTTTTTTTTCAAGTTTTTTTTTGCGATCTGAAATTTTCCCAGTTTGGTTAGAAGTTTCGAAGCTTACGCATGTCCACAGGCCTAATAGAAAGATAAATAGGCAGAAAAAGTGTATTATGGAGAATAGTTGCATGCAGGGTTGCTTCCACTCACTTGCTATAGATGAGTGATTTTCGGAGTTTTGAATTCGTTAGATGTTGTAATGCGGGAGGAGATTGGAGGGCGGGTGTTTGAAGCATAGAGGCTATCAATTTCGCTTTCAGAGTGTCGCAGTCAGCGGTTTTATGCTCCGTGAGCTCTCGCGATATGTAGAATCGTTGATTGTGACTGCAAGTGGATTTGGCGGGTTTTGTGTGTCGGACGCTTGGTTTTTGGCCTCTTCTTGTGTCTAACATGTGCAGAGTATCATTATAGCGTCTAATGGTTTTGAGATTCCTGGTTGCGTGAAATATATTTGTGATAATATCTTTTTGAGATTTTAGTAGTCACGTTTTATTTGTAGTTTATATTTTATTGTTTTCATGTAATTATCGTAAATAATAGTTATTCAATAATAGATAGTGCATCCATATATTCGTACTTTGACGCGAAGCGCTGTGGATTATGAGATGCTCGATGACCCTGGAGGGATCTATTTTGCTTACTGAGCAGAAAATCATGGATTTAACCCCAAGCTCTTCCACAGCACAATAAATCGCCACCATCATTATTTGTATTTTTGATATTGAACATTAACCTCGGAAACTATTTGCATATCAAGCGAAAACGTAGTCCTGTATTGTCGTGAAGCGTTATGGTTCTGAGATGCTCGATGACCCTGGAGGGATCGTTTTTGCTTACTGAGCAGAAAATCATGGGTTTAATCCCAAGCTCTCCGTCATGACTCTTAAAATTCATGATCACTAAACAAAATGAATATGTTCTTTCGATAGCCGGCTATCGAGAGATTAAATAAACAACAAATAAACAATACATACTTTTGGTTGCATCGCCAACTTGAGGTGAATCCTAACCGAATACCCTACCCAACCCTCCAACTCCGCACTTATGAGGGTGTCGCTAAGTCGGTGGCCTCTCGTTAAGTAAGTATTACATCAACATTTCCTTCCCTATCCCTAGTTATGGTAAAGATGGGCGTGGCCGGGAATAGCGACAGTCATGCTTCTGTTACTCTTGTTTAGATTGGAACCAATATTTACTCCCCAGCATTATTCCTGAAAGTAGCCTAACTGAGAATTTCAGAAGAGACGTGAGTGTCGCTAGTATCCAATCTACGAAGTATATCATAACAACGCTAACGCAGATAACGCAATTGTACCTGTCCCATAGCGGACGTATGAGAAATTGGAAGAGTTGCCAGTCTTCTTGATATGTTGTTTTCGCTATACCTCGTAGTACAAATATTATTCGTGAGTTGCGGTCATGCAATTCATGAGTGTCTTATGAAACCAATATTGGCCAGTATTCACTTATGAACGTCATTCTTGATGGAATTTTGAAGTCTGTTTGCTTCAGTGTATTTTATAGATATAATTTATTCTCGGGTTTCTCAATCTTCTTTTCTTCTGTATAAGTAGGTATGCATCTAGAATGACTGACTAGCTCTTTCTTCTGTAAAATTGTAGATGTTCGATTACTGCCTGGCACCGCACACAAAGGGCGATGGTACCGGTTGCGACAACATGACCGCAATCATAGTTCAGTTCAAGCCAAACTTGGCTGGTGCGGCATCGAGGAAGCGAGCTTGTTCACCAGAACCTGAAACGACTGGCACTGAAAGCGACTGCAAGAAGCCCAAAACCGAATCAAACGCCAGCTCAACGACGGTGGGTAGCAATGGTAGCACCAGCAGCAGCAGCAACTGTGAAACGACTACCAAAGGTACCGCAAGTAACAATGACGAGAAAGAGGCCGCTGCTGCCGTGGCATCGATCGAATCCAGTTCCGCTATGGACGCCGGTGATGACAATATGGCATCCTCTTCAACGTGAATCTGTCAATGAGTGCATTACACGCTAGCAAACCCATATAACTACATCTATCATTCAATCGTGAGCGCAGTAAGTACTTTTGTTACTCTGAAATCAAGTTCCGTGCAAATACCCCGTCATCTACTTACAAAACCTGCAGCCAAAACGGAATTCAACCGAAGATGATCCTTCTCATGTACAGGAAACTCGTAGCATTTCCTGTCCCCTGTTTCATCCTACTCTCGCCCATCCACCGGACGATTTTAAATTGTAAACCATTGATCAGTACCCATTTGTCCTAATGTGTAAGTTTAGATGGATCTAGATTATTATGAAAAGTTGTAGCCAAACACATTTACACTTAATGACACTATTGCGTATGTTCAGTATTTGAGAGTAGCCGATGCCAACAAACGTCAAAGCCACACCTATGTTGATTTGCTATGCTAAAGTATTGGACAGATTTACAAATTTGATCATTCAAATGTAAATTACAGCATTATTCCCGATCAGAAAAAGCGATTGAGAATCATGCAATAATATAAAATTTTACTAGATTGGCAGAACAAGAACTTTACATTCACCTGATAAACAGTAGTGTCTAGATGGCAAAAAGAAATGTATCTGTAGTGAAACTTACCTGTAACACAAAGACATGAGCAAAACTTTCCATCTTATGTAAATATTACTCGAAACAAAAGAAAACAAAAATAAGATTGATAACATATTTTGTGTGGAAAGGCAAACAAACAAGTAGCATCTCTGTGGGTCGTATATTTTACCGGAAATGACATACATTTTCTGCAAACATTACAAGTCCCTCTCTTTCACCCTCTGCATGCCTACGCAACACACGCCGACAGATAACACAGATTTGTAGTTACAAGAGAAAGGGCAATAAAGTGTCTTTCGATCGAAATGGCTGCCCTTTTGTTGACGTACGTGATGTATCACTTCCCCGGAATCTGAATTATGTGTTGCCCAAAGATTAAGTTCGTGGACCAAATTCCACCTTGATTTTATTGGTTTTGATAGAAATTATCAATTATCTCCTGTTGTTCGGATTCAATTCTTTGCAAGTATTGATACTCGATCTTAAGTTTATCTAGCTCGACCATTTTCTCGATTATTTCACTCTGAAAAGAACAAAGAGAAAAATAATGTTAGCTTGTTTGGATGAATTTCTGACCATGGAATTGAATCCATGATTGAGCATCGGGAACTTTACGAAAAGAAAACATGTTACCTTAAAAAATCAAAGCTGTTTTAGATCGCATTTACCCTACTACTGGTGTACAACTCTCATATCAACCTAAATATGATTAAGTTCACTCTAAACACTTTCCCATCTGACTGGTGAGTGCCATTTTTGTTGATTTTGATACTTTATGCAATAATTTTCTGTACTATTTACCTGTATCTGTTGCTGTTCCGATTCCCTCTGTTTGGAGAAGGTTTTCAGCAAGTTTTGTATTCCTATTGCTCGCATCTTTTCATGATCAACTTCGGTAGCAAAACTTTCCACGATGCTCGCAAACTGTTCAATTATACGTCGAAACTCGGTGAGCTCTGTTGGATAGGCATAAAAGAATCAGGTTCGTATCATAATAATCCTAGAATAACGATAGAATTTTCAAATCACTTCCATAATACCAAACACTGAGGCAAACGAACGAAATTCCGACAAAGGGTTTTCTTATGGAAATCATAAGTTTGGCTAATGAAACAGACTTCAGTTAGCTTATGAAACTTAAAAAAGTATAGTCGGTATAGTCGGAATCGACTCCTGCGCGTTCAGATTATTGACTCCGTGATTTGTTCCCACGTCTATCACAACGCTTGGTAAATAGAGTACACCTGTGTTCGATAAAAATGCAGCGCATGTCGATTTTCAATCAAAATTGTCAACTTTGACATGATGTAACTTTGTTAACTTATGATTAATTGAGCTACAAACTACAAATATGTTCAATTTTACGATTAGGTACAAAATATTAAATTTTTTGGAAACACCTGTCGGAAAGTGAGACACCACGTAAAATTGTTCAAAATAATAGCAGTACTAATAATTTTCATTTCGATAAAAAAAACTGCTATTATAATTTTGTATAATACCCACGCGTAGTACCTCTTGTATTACGATAATCATTCATAAGTCATGCTTATGAAATCCATAGCTCGTGCCTATGGAATCCCTAAGTATCTTATGAATTCAAAATTGCCCAGGTTCATAAGTCATGTCTTATAGAATTCTTAAGATTTTTTTGCCTCAGCGTAAGAGAGTAGTTGTTCGTTCGCAAAATTGCAAGCATCAGCGTGGTTTGATTGTTTCTCCCGGACCAGAAATTTGTGGCATCGTGAGTGAAAATTTTAATTTCAGTTTATGCGCAGCAAGGTGCGTGAAAGAGCTTGGCCTGATCGGTGTTGATGTTGGTACACTTGCAACTATTTTTGCAAAAAAAAAAAGTAAGTTTTTTCGAATGAAATTTATATCGAAAGTGTACCAAAAGTGCTTCTGAACGTGTTTCGCAGTTGGGTGCGGTGAAATTCGCGGTTGTTTTCAGTGAAAATTCCGTATCACAAATTTGCTCACCAAGTTTCCTTTTTTTTGCCGTTCGACGACATCGGGAATGCACCGAATGAGGATTGTTCTTGAACATTTCTCGATTGCATTTTCGAGGGAACGTGTCTGCTTTTGTGGGCAGTGCGTTTGATGGTCGGTTTGGTAGTATCCTTTTAAATATAATGTCTCATGTCCAAATAACCTCGATTTTCGGTCTATTGATTCAATATTTTAGTATTATATTTTCAAAACATACAATGATGCATTATGTCATTTCATGGCACATAAAACAAAAAGTGTGTGTATAGGACCCAATAATCTAGGTTATTTGTATTTTGTAAAACATCTTTATTTTTTATTATATTTTTTATTTTATTACATATTTTATATACATTATATATTACATGATTATACAGGGTGACTCAGAATAACTGTCACCGATTTCACAAATATGCAATTCTCAATGGGTATATGTTCAAGTATTTTTGTTTTAAGTGTGTGCAAATATCAGCTTGTGTTGATAGTAGGATTTGAAATTTCATTCGTTTGTGATTTCAAGCAGCCATTGACGTCAAAATGGAGAATGGCATAAATCTTTAAAAAAATCGTGTGTTATCTTTTAGAAACTGAAATCTCTTCGCAAGAATGTAACATTTATTTTTGCATCATTATAGAGGTACAAAGGAAGCATGCTTGGAAAATCCGTTCAATATCAGAGCTTATACCCCGTTCACATTACAACCTATATCACGTAATATAGGCTGTCTTGCAATGAACACTCATACATAGGATTTCCAGTGAAAACTAGATGTATGAGTGCTCATTGCAAGACAGCGTATATTACGTGATATACGCTGTAATGTGAACGGGGTATTAAACGCATCACCAGGACTCAAAAAGTGTTGGAACTAAAGCGTGCGTGCCAGCTGTGGTTAATTTTCATGACAAATGTGGCTGATAATTAAGGTAAAGGGAGAGAGATTTGAAATAAACTATGCTTAGTTGAAGATTATATATGTAGAATATCTGGAATATAATGATATCAAAAATTCATGCAAGCGTTCAATCGTTATGACCATTTTAAAAAGGGACAGTTATTCCGAATCACCCTGTATATAACTTCATAATGTAAATTACAATAAATACTAGGACGGGAGGGAGCATCAGGGCATCATTGAAGTTTTAACTGGACAATGGAGTGGAGTGCCAACCAGAGTCTAGGAGGGAATGTGTACTGTCATTTTAGATAGTTACATTTCACTCCAACAGTTGCAATGAATTTGACGCGCTCTTCTTAAACAAATCATCCCGTGGAAAGCTTAACATGTATTGCGAATTTCGTTATTCATTTTGTTGGATCATATTGTTGGAAGGAGATTCTCTTATTCCCGCGGATTTCGCGTAAGTGCCTCTGCTTACGTGCCCGTCCAACCCTTTTTGGCCCTTCATACAGCAGTATGTTGAATTCAGAATGATGAAGGAATTTGATCTTGCGGTTGAGTGGAGCCGCATGCTGGGCAAGACCCAAGCTAGGATGGTGGCTACTTACATACATACATACATACAGCGTAAGAGAGTAGTTGTAGATTGGACTTTGCAAACTCAAAGGGAAATTTCCTTTTACGAAAAAATACACCGACTGGAGCGGAAATTGAATCCTCACTTCATGATTAATCGTGAACAGATTTGTGTGTAAAATAACATACCGGTTTTGTGTTACAGGGTGTACATTGAACATCCCGGAAACGTATTTTTTACCTGAAAATACAGGGTTTTTTAGGTAACCTCTCTATAATAGCGATTCAATAAGATTCATATAACATTCAATGGCATAGTAATGAATTCCACTGTATTCACGTTTTACGTGATTTCATGGTTAGGAGTAGAAATACTCAGAGGGAGAGATTATAGTCGCTATATTCATAGTCTGGCGGATAGAATTTCGATCTATCAAAAAGCGGAACCAATTCAATATATTTTAGACCAAAAATTGAAAAGGTCCTATCAACTTTCACAAACAAAACGTTGATTATTCTTTCCTCGACAATCGAAGCAAATTACCGGCATCATCGGATAGGGGAATCTTTCCCCATCCCAAAGATAGTGTTAGTTTGCGTAGGCAAGCCTTGAATCACGAGAAAACGGTTTCCGAGGTTTTGTTCGCAATAGCTGATGTGCTCTTTTCTGTTGTTGGTCGTGATTTGCTTGATTGCTTCCGCTATTTGACAGCTCAATTGGTTCCCGAGATTCTATCCGCCAGACTATGAATATAGCGACTATAGGAGAGATGGGCGGAGAAAACCAATACATTCGGCAGCATGGATTTGTACTTAAATAATCTTGTAACCCTTGCTAGAAGCTAGCATTTCACATTACTTTTATTTTTGATTCGATTATCGTGCAAAATAATAATTGAGTGCATCGCAATATTTTGCACATTTCTTGGAGCCATTAATTAACCAACTAAAGTCTGGAACGCGCAAAAATTGGTCAAGTTCAAATTGGTGTATTTCTGTTAAAAATGCATAAAAAACCTGACATGCTGCATTTGGAAATTGAGTGTAATACAATGGTTGCTATGATGAGTTTTCACCGTTTGCCTTCCAGTTTTCAAAATGACGTCCAAGCAAAAGGAGCAGCATGTCAAAATTTTGCTCGCGCAGCAAGAGAATCCGACGTTCTCACACGCCAAGTTGGCAAAATTGCTGGATGTGGCAAAATCGACCTTGACAAACGTTTTAAAAGTGTTCGGGAAGCGTCTGTCGACCGCCAGCAAGCCTGAAAGCGGCGGTAATCGTAATCCGGACGTGGCAGCGACGACGAAGAAGGTGGCGGTGAAATATAAGCGGAATCCTAACCTCTCCATCCGGGACGTCGCTGGCAAGCTCAATGTCTCCCATACTACTGTGCGGCGGGCCAAGAAACGAGCCGGGTTGTCGACGTTCAACAAGGTGAAGGTGGCGAACCGAGATAACAAACAAAACACGTCGGCAAAGCAGCAGTCCCGAAAGCTGTATACGAATCTGCTCACAAAGTTCGACTGTGACAAAGTTTTGTACCGAATCACGAAAAGGGAAGGTGGTTGAAATTTTCAAAACCATCAAACTATCGAAGTTCCCGAAAAATATCTCGTCTGGCAGGCCATACGTACGTGTGGTCTAAAAAGTGGCATCAATCAAGAGTTCTAGGTCCAGGAGTGCCTGGAAAAGCGGCTGCTCCCATTCCTAAAGCAACATAATAGACCTGTGCTGTTCTGGCCGGACTTGGCGAGCTGCCACTATGGGGAAAAAGCAATCGAGTGGTACGATGCGAACAACGTGGTTGTGGTACCCAAAGACCACAACCCTCCCAACAGCCCAGAACTCCGCCCTATCGAGCGGTAGTGGGCCTTGGTCAAACGGAATCTAAAAAAAAAAAAATCCATGGAAAACGAGCAGCAGTTTAAATCTAAATGGCGTTCAGCGGCGAATAAGGTCGATGAGACCACTGTGTAAAATTGAATGGAAGGGGTTAAGCGGAAGGCACGGCAGTTCGGATTTGGCAAACCAAAAGAATAAACGAACATTTTTCCTTTAAATAGGGGAATTTACGAATTCTCGGCAACCTAAGCAGCGACCTTCTTTCTATAGCCTTTTTCTCTAAGGAACGCACACATATGCATTATTGGTTTGTTTACAATCTTTTACTGCCAGCTGCTCTAACAATTTCAGTTGAAAGAATTGTCAAAAACTGTTTTGAAACGCTTTTACAAAGCTCCAATCTTCTCTAGTGAGAGCGAGTATTATCGGCATCCAGTTTTTCTTCGGCAACCGTTCCATTTGAACTGCATGTCAATCTGCTGTTCTACTATCGGCAACTCGAAATCAGCTACAATTAGTAGTGCGTGTGTTTCATTTCAAGAAAACCTTGCTAGATTGCTTTTTCTCAGTGGTAAAAATATAGTCAAATTGAAGCTGAAAGCATAAAGAATCGTTTGCATGCATTCAGCGAAGTGTTTTCGTAAGAAAATCCAGTGAAAATAGTGTTTCAATTTGGGTTGCCGAAAATAGTCTGGCATGCCGAAGCCGTCATTTCCCCTATATGAATTGAACTACCAAAAGAAAAATAAGAAGATTTTTGTGATATGAATTTTGACTGAAAAAAACGATTTTTTTTGTCGACCTATTTTGCGCATTCCATTTGCGATCAATTCTCGCGTAACATTTGAAAAGGGCCTATCCTCGTTGATCGATTCTCTTTATCGACTTTCTGTTTGGTTTACCACGGGAACATTAACGAATATCTCGCTAGGCTCGCAGCACAGATCAAATTATGATCAAAGATGTAATTTGTAGTCGGGCTATTCGCGAAAGAGACAATCGATGAAGGGAATCGATCAACAATGATTGGCCCTTTTCTCGTGTTGCGCGAGAATTAATCAATAGAGGTAGAATACTGTTTTGATTCCAAAAACTAATTGAATTTGATAAGCACACGAAACATAAAGGTTCTTAAATTTCTGTTCGATTGCAATACTCTCAAATTTGATCTAGTAAGAATAAGAAATCCTCGAAAAAATCTAATGGGAATGTTCGATTGACTCAGATTTTAAAAGTTCATTTGGCTCAAAATATTCTCTCCGCTCATCTTTCCCTCTGAGTATTTCTAGTTTTGTATAAGTAAGTAAAATCAGGTAAGGCTGTGAACCATTTGCCGAGTTAAATTTAACTCGTGGTTAAAAAGTGACATTTCGAAAGTTATTTTCTATGTTCGAAAATCCCTGTGCTGTCGATCGACCGGTTTTCGAGAAGAACTTAGCCAAGGTAGTCAAAATGTAACTTCTTGTCTGTCAGAAGTAACCACGCTCGGATAGCAGGATTAATCGATAACTTTTCATCTGACAAATTTCAACCAAAAGTTAAAATAATCCACCAAATGGTTCAGAGCCTAAGTAAAATCTACAGATCTTGATAAAAAAATCACAGAGATTCTGGAAACATGTATTGGGATCCTCAGATTTCCCAGAACTTGTTTGAGGCTTTGTAGGTTTTCCTGAAGTTTTCATTAAGGTTTGCAGGTTTTCTTTAAATTCTGCAGCTCCGTCTATGTTCTGCAAATTTCACTGAGGTTCTGTTCACTTCGGTCAGTGAACTTCAGAGAAGATCTCTGGAAAGTGTTTTGAACTTCAAGGTAAGTTTTGCGAACAGCAACAGAAACACTAAAGCATAAACTGAGCGATTGTCTACGAGTTAGTGAGGCGTGGTCGCATTTGTAGAATGTGTTAGCGACAATCCTTGGCGGTCGAAGGCCTCTCTCTTACGTGAACCTAAACAGGAGTTTTGGACAGAATAGGCAGAAGACAAAGAATTGAAATCCTTAAACATTGTATTAATTATGTCACCTTTATCATAGATTATGATAATGTAGCAGACGTATGCGAACTGGATTTTCATTTACAAGTTAAAATGTAATTAATTGTACTGTAATTAGTTTTAAACAAAACATCTAAATAATCTGAATTTTAAAACGTTAAAAAAATTTCTGGAGTAGTTCTGTGAACTTTAGAGAAGCTATACAAACTTAAGAATCGTTCTGCAAATATCAGAGATGTTCTGCGAACTTCAAGAAAATATATAGAACTTCATACAATTTTGCAGGCTAGGTCCTGTCATTGCCTGCAGATCTCATATCTCTAACTAATATTTTACTCCTCAGAAATTTCTGGTCATAATCTGGTCATTTATCACCAATCAAAGTCTCAGAATCTTGAAGAAAAAATCCTTATCTTTCCGTCCATTGTTACTCTGATGCACCACGCCTTTAACATTTACAATGGCTTTATAAAAGTTCATCCGAATTTTTTGAAACTTTTGTCATGTTTTTGTGGAACTTGGGCTTAGTTCTAATGTTGCGCCTACAAAGCACAACCCGCCCTTGCCCCTATTTTTTCCCAAAATTGAATGTTGTCACTGCAGATGACTTCTAAATTTATTAACCTTTCCGTGAGTAGATTTGATAAAACGAATCAATTTGTTGAGATATTGTTAAAAAATCTAATTGGGTTTTTGATCTAATTTCCGTCCTACTAAGCACAACGCGCACTTTACCTTCTGAACGAGTTTAAATTAAAAATGGAAAATTTCTGACAAAGATGACTTCTAAATTTATTCACCTTTCTATACGTACCGTTGGAGAGACACAAATTGTTGAGATATTGTTTAAAATCTAATACTGCTTCTTGATTATAATTTCGTTCTACGAATTTCAATTCCGTCCTAACGTATTGAAACGCCATTAGATTTTCTTCGTCCTACGGATAAACGTAGAAAAAAGGGATTCGCAGGGAGCGCGTCTTTAGTTTTGAGAACAATGAGCGTAAATATTCATACAATGCGCTCTAACAGGATTCATGTTGTAGCTAATAAACTAACGTATCGGAACAAACCTATTATTGATTTGTGCACGGTGAAATCATTGATATTATTGATCTTTTCTGATCGATAGATCGAAAATGGGCGATTGCGACGAAGTAGCGCTCTACCCTACTGCTTCTTGACCCCAAACTCGGCCTACGGATTCTAAATTCGGCCTAACGCATTGAAACGCCTTTGAATTCACTTCGGCCTATCGGATGAAAAAAAACATTGATTCGGTCGGAGCGCTTCTTATGGTTTTGAGAATAATGGGTGCAAACATTCATATCACGCGTTCTCATTGACTTCGTTCGGTAGTTTTTTAACTTAAGTATCGTACCAAACGGATGTGACTTGTTAACTCTGAAATCATGGATTTATTTGAAGTTTTCTGTTCGATATACCCAAAACGGTACGCCGAAGTAATTCTCTACCCTATATGCATGATATGTAATGCTGCTACCTGCTACTAAAGTCAGAAAACAAAACCAAGTCGACATGTTCAGAGTTATTGGTTTTCAAGAATGTTTTGCCTAAACGCCCTGAGTGGGAAAGGGTTAGTAGAATCAAGAATCAATTTTATTCTCTTCAGCAATCGTAAAAGGGGAATGATAAGGTTACATATAGCAGTAATAAAATAAACTTAGTATCTAAATCTAGATTCTGCTGGTCATGAAACAGGGTCGATAGGTATAGCAAATCCTCCATCTCTACCTCTTTATTTCCCAACCACTGTTCCTTTATCCCCTATAATCCAATAACTTTCCTTAATATCCGGCATTTCAAAGCCAGGATTCATTAGACCTGTGCTTGAAAACGAAAACGAAACATGCTTACTATCGGTAAATTGTTCACATTCATCTTTCAGGTCGTTCGTTTCGTTGGCTACTTCTGGATCGATCACCCGCAGTGTGTAGAGATCGTCAATGTAGAGGCCGGATTTTCCAAATTCTTCACTCATTTTAATACACTTCTTACTTGGAATAAATTACTTTTGTTAAATATTACTATTAAATTGAAAATGTTTGGTCAATCATTGCTATGGTAATGTTTCATGCAAGTTTCATACCAACTTCGTTGCTGGCTTATGTTCGCTTCATAAGGGGTGCTCACATAGGCGGACTCTACTGTGGAACGTTAGTCATTTTTCTGATTTTTCTTGCGTGTTTTGACAGCAGACTACGATTCATCATTTTACCATCATTCCAGTTTCTGCCCCCCTGACGGAGGAGGCAGTAGACAGAAAAGTAGAGAAAATTAAGCTAACTAGTTTTTAGTTGTAAAATTGATTGCACCGTAGATTTCCTCCGTGGAAGAACAGTAGTGGACAGTATCGAACATATACAATCCATCAAAATTGAGAACCAAGGCGAATCGTCCAGGATGTCGGGTGATCACAAAACCCTCATCAAGGGCAACCCATCGCAGTACGTGAAGTTGAATGTGGGCGGATCTTTGCACTACACGACCATCGGAACGCTCTGCAAACAGGACACCATGCTCCGGGCTATGTTCAGCGGCCGAATGGAGGTGCTGACTGACTCCGAAGGTGAGATATTTCAATGTTTCGATGAATGGGAGTTTTGTGTTGTGTTGTCGCTTTTATTTTCCTTTCACCTTGAATCTGACGGCCGGAGAGAGAGTTAAACAATAATGAGGTACCTAGAGGAAGTTAGTCTGCTGAACACAATGACTGAGGTTGCACATTTCAGTTAATTTTATTATTTCTGTTTTCGTTTTTGGAAGCAGTAACTGAATGTTATTATTTATTTGAAGCATAGCAATCTAACAATACATCCATACCTCCTAGGCTGGATCCTCATCGACCGCTGTGGCACTCATTTTGGCACAATTCTTAACTTCCTACGGGATGGAAGCGTTGCTTTGCCAGAGACCACCAAGGGAATCGCAGAACTCCTAGCTGAATCCAAGTATTATTGCATTGAAGAGCTGGGTGAGGCATGTGAGAAGGTACTTGCTAAGAAGGAACGTGAGTCACGAGAATCGGAACCGATTTGTCGTGTTCCACTGATAACGTCACAAAAGGAAGAGCAGTATTTGATAACTACGGCTACGAAGCCGGTCGTGAAGCTTCTCATTAATCGTCACAATAACAAGTATAGCTATACCAACACTTCCGATGATAATCTGCTGAAAAACATTGAACTGTTCGATAAGCTCTCGCTGCGATTTAGTGGTCGTGTATTCTTCATCAAAGACGTCATCGGTTCCAGTGAAATTTGCTGTTGGTCGTTCTACGGTAATGGTAAGAAGGTAGCGGAAGTGTGCTGCACTTCCATCGTCTACGCAACCGATAAGAAGCACACCAAGGTTGAGTTCCCGGAAGCACGCATTTTCGAAGAAACTCTTAACATTCTGCTGTACGAGAACAAGAATGCTCCGGATCAGGAGCTGATGCAAGCTACCTCATTGCGAGGGGCGGTGGGTGGGATCTCATCGTATACCAGCGACGAGGAGGAGGAACGCACTGGGTTAGCCCGACTTCGCTCCAACAAGCAGAACAATCCCACATGATTCACACATCAGCTGATGCTGAGAAAAAAGTTGTTGCCAAAGAGAAACTGAAGAAGCGGTTTGCATTTTTTGCCTCTGTGAGCGAGCTGCGTGCAACAGGACAATTTTGGTTTTCTAATTACATCTTGAGGTTTGCTCGTTAATATCGATGAATCGTTCTTTTATCAGTTAAATAAGGTTTAACAGCCCATAAAAGCATAACTGTCTCATATGAATTGGAAATCAAGCGGAGATGGGACAGTTAGGCCTTTATGGGCAGTAAAGCGTTTCAAAATTACATCCAGGGTTGGCATGCTCATTTTTTTACACAAACTGCTCTTTTGTTTATAAATTTTCACTCAACTAATGAAACTTGGTTTTACTTTAAGCAATTGGTCGGAGTTCACAGTAGACACACATAGAGTAGCTAAATCACAACATTTAAACTCACGCCAATGAGTTTTTTCTTTATGCGAGTCTGAAATGGGCAGCTATTATTACGCTTTCAGTTTTTGTGACCCAAATTTGAGAACAGCTTTTCGTCTAAATACCAATCTACTGTGAGCTACGTAGCTATAGAAACCTCAAACTCTGTTCTATCGATTCCTTCAAGAACATCCATGTTTCTTCAATTGAGTGCAGAGTTATTAATAAATGAGCAATTTGCACATTTACATCTAACGTTCCCATCAAGCTACAGAAAAAGCATTGTCAATGCGTCAACAGGATAAATTACAATATATTAAATTGTTCCAAAAGCCACTGGAACTATTGTATGAGTGAATGAACAAATGTTTAAGCCTATCAATTCAATTCTATATATATTAAATACGTGTATGGTAACTGTTTCCTTTTCCCTGGATTTCCCGCTGCTTCGACAATATGTGTGTATTTGTGTTTATGTAATTAAAAAAAAAATGTTTCAACAACTGACAATTTGCTGTTAAGTGTCTAGATTCCTACTTCAAGTCATTACATTTTCTGGTGTAGCATGTGTAATGATCGATGCAACATAAGGCGGACTGTATTGGAGTTTGTACGCGGTTAGTGGAACTTATGTTGCAACTACAAAGTAATTATCACCTAAAAATATTCACAATAAAATTTTAGGAAAATGTTGACATACTACTGACCACTTCCTCAAAAGAAATCGTCCACATGCTTTTCCGGGCAGTTAGGCTCTGGGTCCCAAGCTCACTTTTCCAATATCTAATACGTAGAAAATAAATCAACTCTTCAAGACATCCTCTCAGATCTTGCCTTACTATACCTTTACTGGTTCAACGTCCTTCGGTGCTTCACGTGCTGTACAACGCTGCTTGTCTCCGGTTTCTTGAGCGTTTTACAGTTCCTAGATCTTGCTCCACTTGGTCCAACCACCTAGTTCACTGTGCTCCTCTGTGTCTTATATCGGTCGGATTCGAGTCGAACACATTTCTTTGCGGGATTGGTGGTCGGCTTTCATTCAATGTGATCCGCCCATTGTACTTTTCCAGCTTTGGCAACTTTATTTAGAACTTTAAAAACTTTTCATGTCACCAATTTTCGAAAATTTCTCCATTTCTGGGATAGTGAATGCCCGTCCATAGAGGAACATTTCTGATAAATGTGCTTCATAATCCTAAATAGTTTTCTAAGACCAGGATTTTGAAATTTGTTCTTTATCGAAGTCACAGAATATTAACCTTTTTGTTAATCCTGGTTCTTGGATTTGCTTAGGATCATTCCAAAAAGTCTCAAGAATTACTTTTACTTTCAGGATTTCCCTCGATAATGTTATGATCCTGTCCGGTATTCCCTAGAAAGTTCCTCCATAACAGTCTCGGAATTATGTACAGAACACTTTAGGAAATCCTTCCAGAAAACTCTTGAAATTCTCTTTTTGTTTATCTTCGCATTCTTAATTATTCTCATAAGAATTTGTTCAATTTCTCTCCATAATTGTCTTTACAATTCACTTGGAATAATCCTTGGAAATCTCTTAGTATGCATTGGCGTAAGTACGGGGGGATGTTTCACCCCAGATCTAGGGTAATTGTAGAAAATCCAGAGTATTCTATGTTTGCATTACATCGATATTTTTTACAGATTCTCCAGAATAAACTCTGCTGCGGTTTTAAGTTTCTAACTTTATTACCTATTGATTTTAATTTTTTTTTTTACAACACGCAAACGACTCAGGAAGAGCAGGGATGCCAAATTTAACAACAGGTTTTCAGTTTGAATCTCGTAAGGGGCTACGGCATGGTGGTGTCTGCTATTAAAAATCGTGTTAGAAGGTGTGATAAGAAGAGCTGGGATAGATACAAGTGGCACGTTCTTCAGGAAGTCCATGCAGCTTCTTGACTTCGCCGATGACATCGACATCATGGCACGGAACTTTGAAATGATGGAGGAAAAACATCAGACTGAAGGCTGAAGCTAGACGGATTGGACTTGCCATCAACGCATCGAAGGCGAAATACATGAGAGGAAGAGGTTATAGGGAAGACAATGTTAGCCTCCCACTCCGAGTTCAGATTGACGGTGACGACGAGTTCGTGTATTTGGGTTCACTGGTGACCGCAGAAAATGATACCAGCAGAGAAATTCAAAGATGCATTATAGCAGGGAATCGTGTCTACTTTGGACTCCGGAGCAGGCTATCTACAAGACGCTGATTAGAACGGTGGTCTTCTATGGCCACGAGACCTGGACTATGCTCATGGAGGACCGCCCTTGGTGTTTTCGAACGGAAGGTGCTGCATACCATCTACGGTGGAGTGCAGATGGATGACGGAACGTGGAGGAGGCGAATGAACCACGAATTGCACTAGCTGCTGGGAGAACCATCCATCGTCCACACTGCAAAAATTGGGCGACACGTCGTAAGAATGCTCTCGAGAGCAACCCAAAAGGAACAAGAAGAAAATTCGCGCAATGGACAAGGCGGATCGACCAAGTAGAAGGCGACCTGAGGACCCTTCGCAGTAGAGTGGAGCCGACTTCTTCGGGCAACAGAGGACATCAAGGCCTTAGCCTGATTGTTAAGGTAAGTTTTTATTTTGAAGACATTTGATTTTTTTCACACAGACAGGAACCTGAAAATACATGTTTTATGAAGATGTTTGAAGACATGGTGAATCTGAAGAAGACTTCCGATTTTTTTTTTTTTAATTTCAAGCAGTCATGTGATAATTTTTGCTATTGAAATACATATTTGACTTAATATTTTAATCTCTGTCTTGAACATGTTGATTGTGAATAATGTTACCAAAATCAGTTTTTTTTATTGAATAATTCATGATCAAAGATTAGCACAATAATAAGACCTGATCAACCTTCAGCCTGCCGTATGATACTCAGGTCTTCCCCATCGTTAAGTTCACAATGCACAAGAGACCAGTGCGTACGTTGAACACGAGTGAACCTTTTTCATAACATCGTATTGGTGTTTCTATCAGCCCCAGTGGTAGGCGCGTAGGTAACATGTTATACAGTGACAGTGGGCCCAGCACAGCAAAATAAATGATTTGAGCCCGGGACATGCTGCCTACTGTCAAACGCTGCTGTTGGTATAGTCCTTGTCACTGGCCTGGTTTCTATGCAACGTGACTCAGTTTGTTGATTTTTTACAATGCATAGGGTAGAGCGTACCTCGGAGCGTACTTCGTCGTAATCGCCCATTTCCGTTCCATCGAGCAAGAAACATCAATAATATCAATGATTTCACCGTGCACAAATCAATAATAGGTTTGTTCCTGTGAGTTAGTTCATTAGCTACAACATAAATCCTGTTAGAGCGCATTGCATGATAATTTACGCTCATTGTTCTCAAAACAAAAGGAGCGCTCCTAGCGAATCCCCTTTTTCTACGTTTATCCGTACACAGCAAAAAAAAATGTAATATCGATCAACGTAATTCAAGCTGATGTATGAAATAATGATGTAATAGCAAAACGCAGATACAATATTACATCAATGGATGTAACTTTGTTCGCAAAATCGATGTACATCGTACAATGTGATTTTACACAACCGATGGATTGACCTGGTTGCAGCAGTTTCGATGTAATATTCAACAACTTTTTTTGCTGTGTATGACGAAGAAAATCTAATGGCATTTCAATGCGTTTGGACGGAATTGAAACTCGTAGGACGAATTTAGAATCAAGAAGCAGTGTTAGGTTTTAAACGATATCTCAACAATTTGTGACTCTTTATCAAATCCAACGGTACATATGGAAAGGTGAATAAATTTAGAAGTCATCTTTGACAGAAATTTTCTATTTTATGTTAGCATCGGGCATGGTTATTTCTGACAGACAAGAAGTTAAATTTTGACAACTGTGGCTCGAAAACCGGTCGATCGACAGCACGGGGATTTTCGAACATAGAAAATAACTTTCAAAGGTCACTTTTAAACACGAGTTAAATTAACTCGGCAAATGGTTCACAGCCTGAGTTAAATTTAACTCGAGGTTAAAAGTGACATTCCGAAAGTTATTTTCTATGTTCGAAAACCCCCGTGTATCTATTGCTGCAGCTCCACCTTTCCCAATAGCATCAGGGTCGACGACAGTTACCACAGTTACAGAAAACACGAGCTGCCTCGGAGTCTCAATTTAATATATATAATATAATAAATATAATAAATAATTGCTTGGTTTAACGGCTTTCTCAGTCTTAATATCACCAACAATCAATACGAAACTAACGATTTTAAATTGGCTCCCCACTTTAGTAGCCTATTGGTCCCAAGCAAACGATTAACGTACCCTATTCTAGTTGAAATTCTATTACTACACTATGTTTATTTTGATTCGCTATGAAAGTTTGACAGATAACATCAGGGGTGTGTGGATTCATGCAGAACATGCAGGGGTGAGTGAAATAGCTTGGGACTGCTTGGGACCGTTGTTCTGGTACTGAGTGTGCCAAAAATAATAATGATTTTCTTCGGGACCCAGTGGTCTTAGAGTTACCTCTATGATATCACTCTAAAGACTACGATTTAATCTGCCCGACGCTTCAGTCATAGGTTTTAGTTCATGGTTTATGGCCGAAACGTCGGGCAGATTAAATCGTTGTCGTTAGAGTGAGATTAAGACTTAGAAAGCCGTTAAACCAACAATCAATACGAAACTAACGATTTTAAATTGGCTCACCACTTTAGTAGCCTATTGGTCCCAAGCAAACGATTAACGTACCCTATTCTAGTTGAAATTCTATTACTACACTATGTTTGTTTTGATTCGCTATGAAAGTTTGACAGATAACATCAGGGGTGTGTGGATTCATGCAGAACATGCAGGGGTGAGTGAAATAGCTTGGGACTGCTTGGGACCGTTGTTCTGGTACTGAGTGAGCCAAAAATAATAATGATTTTTTTCGGGACCCAGTGGTCTTAGATTTACCTCTATGGTTAAACTAAGCAAATCACTCAAGTACTAGTCGTCACCATCACTAATAAAGTAATTAATCAACTCAAACTATATTTTTCATTCATATCCTTTATGAGTTTCATACGAAATGACAAATGAAATTGTTCATAATATCCTATGATAGCTATCGTTCGTTTAAATTGAGATTCATAGTTATATGCATGAAAAATCATACGATGGCTGATTGACAAAAAACTGACAGTTCTTCATAGTTCGGTCGTATGAAATTCAACATAAAATCTTGTCGCAAAAAATCATACGATATTTCTATGAACTTCGTTTGATTAATAATCTCAGTGTAGTAGTGGTGTTGCCATGTGGTACACTGAAAAATTGAAATTGCAAGTTAGTCACCAAAGTTTTCGAGCCGCTCCGTCTGTCACTTCGTTTGTGATATAACCATAGAGGTAACTCTAAGACTAGTAGGTCCCGAAGAAACGTGCTCAACTTTTTGGCTCAGCTCTGGTACTTATCTTCGGTCCCAAGCTAATCGATTCACCCCTCGAAGCATAGGAAAATCCACTAACCCCTCATTTTATCTGTCAAACTTTCATAGCTTATCAAAACAAACATTGTGTAGTAGTAGAATTTCGACTAGAATGGGGTACGTTAATCGTTTGCTTGGGACCAATAGGCTAGTCAAGTAGTGAGCCAATTTAAAATCGTTAGCTTCGTATTGATTGTTGATATAACTGAATGTAATTGGATGTTTCTTCCGTGAGAACGTGATTACTGAACATTTTGTTGGATTTACAACAATGCGGTTCAGTTGGCACCAATTAGCAAAAGCGTTGAGTTGGATAAGGTGGCAGTCAGCAGGTGGCTCGGATTCGGAGATAGATTTTCATGTCGTCTGCGAACGACAGTCGTGGACCGTCGAGGACGAAATTGACGTCGTTGAAATGCACAATAAATATCAACGGGCCGAGGTGGCTACCTTCCAGAATACCCGAAGTGGCAGGGAACGAAGGAGATCGGCAGTCATCGATTGCAACTTCCAAATGAAGATCAGATAAATAGGATGCGAACCATCGTAGGAGACTGCCGATTATACCGAGCCTATCCAGTTTGGCGATCGCTATAGGATGGTTCAAATTGACGAAGGCGGCTGATAGGTCAGTGTAGATGACATCTGTTTGCATATGGTCTGTCATACTCTCCGTAATGTACGAGGTGAGACACAGAAGGTTGGAAGTAGTCGATCGCCCTGTCATGAAACCATGCTGGTCTTCGCTCAAGTGCTGCTTGAAGTGAGAGACTACCCGAGCAAAGTCGGTTAACAAAATGAAAGCAAATCGATATTAAAGTTTGCAGTTTCTATCATAATGAAAACTCATTTTGATTTCAATTGTCGCGACATAAGTCTGATATCATATTGTGATTTCATTATGCAGTCAAAACTTTTTAAATGAAAGCAACTTAGTTCTGCTCTTAACGTCTTGTTTAAAATTTAATTTAAGTTCATCTGTTGTTGAACTAATGATTCTTGTTTATTTGTTTTGTTTAACACATTTTAGATCATTCCTGACTTGCCCGGGGAGAGATTTGACTTATTCAACTTTTAAGTCTTTCAGCGTGAGAAGCATGGATGCTAACCATTTATGCCAGGCCCGTATTCAGTTAAACATTATGAATGCAAAATGAGTAATCAAATTGATTTCATTGAAAGCAGGATTTGTTTTCCGTTTGCTTCAACAGTGTAAAATTTTGCTCTCATTTTTGCTGTGTTAACCGTTAAGTCAACCAAAATGAGATCAACTAGAGTATTCAAAATAAGTTACATCATAACAGCAAATTTTGATTTCAATTTGATCTTCAGCTTTGCTCGGGTAATGGTTCCATAACGACTAACTCGAACAGTTGAAATATGGCACACAACGATGTGATGCCGCGATAGTTGTCGATGTTTCTTTTGCATCTCAGCTGATTTCCAGCACTGTAGAGGGACGTTTCGAACAGAAGGCAGAGAGTATCCACCAGGCTATCGATGTGTTGCTTGAGAAAGACGGAAGAAACTCCGTCAGGTCCAGGCTTAAATGAAGACTTCAGTTGCGAAGCCGCCCTAGTTATCATAGCAAGGTCGATGTTGATAGCTGCCAAAGATTGACTAGACATTGGAACATTACTGGTTGCTAGAGAAACGTGCTCGTCAGGTAGGTTCTCATCCGAGAATACACTCGCAAACTTGGTTGAGAACAGACGGCAAATGTCCTGAGGGGATGAAGCTTCTTCGCCGTTCAGTACCATTGTCGATGGAAGGCCAGACTCCTTTCGTTGCTCATTCACATAATTCCAAAAAGTTTTCGGGTGAGATCGAAGCTTCCGTTGAACATCTCGTTGATAACGCCGATAACATTGGCGATTGGTTCGTTGATACGCATGATTGATCCTCGCATAATGGTCCTTGAGTTGTAGGGTGTGGTACTTGGTGTATTTTCTTAGGGCGGCTCTTTTGGAATACTTTAACATACGGAGTTCACAGGTTTGCCAAGGATGATGATTACCTTGTTTAGGAACTTTTTTTTGGAACGTGTCCCTCAATGACGTAAGCCAAAATATGGGAGAGCGTTTGGGCAGCTGCATTGACATCGGCAGGGACGAGTATCCTGGGCCAGTTCAAATTCGAAAGAAGTTCCCCGCTACTGACGTGGTCAGCATTTCGGAAATCGTAGGAGACCTCTAGGGGGTGGAATGACCTCAGGGATTTGGTTGCCTTCAAGTGCAATAACTAAAGGAGGATGGTGTGGAACAGACTTTATCAACGGCGAAACAGCCATAGACAAATGCGGAGCAGTATCCTGAGCGGTGACGAAGCAAAGGTCTAAGCTACGATTCTCATTATCCACGTGGTTGAATTGCTTCAGAGTGGCGATACTGTAATGATCCAAAAGGCTTACAGCTCCAGAGTGCAATGTAGAACGGTCGTGGTCCGGATACAGGAATCCACCGTAAGATGATCGCCAAGAAATTGCCGGTAGATTGAAGTCGCCAATGATTATCATCTCGTCAGCAGCTGTAGCGATCTCCATTATAGCTCGAATAGACTGACTGTGGGATTCAATTAGCGTAGAGTCATAGAGGTAACTCTAAGACTAGAAGGTCCCGAAATAACGTGATCAACTTTTTGGCTCAGCTCTGGTACTCTCTTCGGTCCCAAGCTTATCGATTCACCCCTCGAAACATAGGAAAAACCAATAACCCCTCATTTTATCTGTCAAACTTTCATAGCGAATCAAAACAAACATTGCGTAGTACTAGAATTTTGACTAGAATGGGGTACGTTAATCGTTTGCTTGGGACCAATAGGCTAGTCAAGTAGTGAGCCAATTTTAAATCGTTAGTTTCGTATTGATTGTTGGTAGAGTCGCGAGTTCGATCCGGAGGAAAGTAAACTACACACAAAAACAAAGTGCGGTCAGCGAGCTTAATGGTAATCCAAACTTGCTCCATACTATTCCATGAATCGTTTTCGATAACTTTTGCCTTCAATCCAGAGACGACCGCTATGAGAACGTCTCCACCAGTAGATTTGCGGCTGTTGTGCGGATTCCGATCGCATCGAAAAACCTCGTATTTGGAACCAAACACTTGATTTGACAATGTGCGAGTATCAAGCCAAGTCTCAGTGAGAGCGATGACGTCGAAGCAACGATCCGAAACCGCTTAGCAATAATCATCGATGTTGGAATTCATCCCACCAGCGTTCTGGTAATACATGCAGATGACCTGACTGTGACGATAAGTCGCCTGGCGGGGGCTGCTTTGCGATCTAGAATTGGTAACGACATCTGGCAGGGGATGTTCCAAGACAGATCTTGAATTATAATCGCCTGATTGGGAGATTCGGAAGACCCCCTCTTCGTTTCCGATCGCAGGGCCGGGCCGACTCCGATGAGCGATGTCAGCGGGGGGCGCGACTCTGTCGGAAGGACTGGGGGCTTCCAAAATACTGTTCACGGTGCGTCCCAGGGTGCTAATACCGCGACATCATCAGCCAAATCGAAGTCGTTGAGGTGCTTCATAGTGATAAGATGACAAAGTAACATACGGTTTGGTACATGGTCAATTACACCTACCAGGATATCGTCGATTAAGATGGGGAAAAGTACTGCCCATAAAAGCAATTGTTCGTCTAAATTTTGAATTCTTCTACCAGATTAGAAATCGAACCCGTTAGCTTCAACATGTCTAACTTTAAAACTGTCTAGGCTGGGGGCTCCAGGATATATTCTATATCTATTTTCGAGGGTGATGGTTTAGAACAGGCCTGATCAACCTCTCTAAACCTGCATTTTTTAATGTCTTCTGGATAAAACCTATGTCAAGCTGCATTTATAGCGTTCAGAACTGCGATGATCGATTCTCTTTATCGATTTTATCTTTGCATTACTACAGTTAAGTGATCCAATTTTCCGATATTTTTCCAATACAATATAGTAAAATATAGTAAACGCACCGAGAAATCTAACGAAAATCGATCATCGCAGTTACGATGAACGCTAGATTTTGTTTATTTCTAAACCATTCTGGTTCATATTACTGAAGAACATTGGGTTAGAACCTCTTAGGGCTAGAATGGTCTCACTGTTAAAATTCATAGACCACAGGGGTACTGATGTAGAACAAGATAGGTACCTGAGTAAGTACATACCTTAGTCTAGAATGCGGATTCATACCTCGCTGTTGTCACTATTGCGTTGCTGTTAGTAACCAACATTGTTATGAGTTGATCGATTTTGTTTGAACGTAGTAGATGGTTTATGGTTCATCATGGCTGATTTAGACTATCCTGGTAAGCATGAAATACGCTAGAAACCGCACACTGAACAATGTAACCCAATCCCACTTTGCATATTACAGAAATCAATCCCGCAAACGAACTAGAAAAGCGAGTTGCCGATGCTTTTCTCATCTTTGACCATCACGGCAACAAAACGGTTGATGTGCGCGAGATCGGAACAATTTTGCGATTCCTCGGTTAGTTTCCCATCACAAATATTGTGTTTTCTTCTTCTTTATTTCATCAAATTTAATTCCTAGGATGTGTTCCCACGGAGGCAGACGTCAACGAAGTAATTTCAGCGACGGAGTTCGAAGATTCCAATGGGACGGTTCACCTTTCAAAGTTCCTGCCGTTCGTCAGCCAGCTGATTGCCGAGCATAAGTAAGTCATCGTCTAGGAAAAGTGCAAAAATGCTAATTGAATCCAATTGATACCGACACAGATTGGAACCGGCCCCACCGGAAAAACTCCTGAAAGCATTTCGCGTTCTGGACCAGGAGGGTAAGGGTTTCGTCGATCGTGATTATATGACAAAGTTGATTACAGAGGAAGGGGAACCGTTCACGGCAGAGGAACTTGAGGAAATGATGGCCGTAGCAGTCGACATGGCAACCGATAAGATTCCTTATGAAAACTATTTGAACCAACTGTTGGTAAGTAGCATTTTGGTTTGGGTCTGGTCCAGAACTAAACAAGTCTCTTCACATACGAAGCATGAACCGCAAGATTCGATTTACACATTGGCCGATAAATTCAAAAATCAAATCAGACGCAGGACGATTTTCAAATTTTACAGGCGATGATTTTTTTCTTATTTCAGGTTGATTTCTAAAATCCCCAATGTCCCAGTCAAATAAAGGGAACAAGTAATCTAGCAAATGATTTGTTTTATTGAATCAACGTTCATTTTATAGCAACGATAACTGCAAAGTGGTATGTTCGTTTTTGAACAATTGTACCGTTTTATGTTGGTACAGTTGGGTATGCCACAAATGATCGGTTTGGGTGGGTCTTTCGGTTTCTGTGGTTGTAAAGGAAATTCCACGTTGGGAGGTAACGATATCGTGGCACCTTCTACCGTATTCACGTACGTTATCATGGGTAGTTGAGCTTTTGTGAAACGATTCTTGCTGGCCTTCACTGACTTTGAGTCCTGCTTTTTCAACAGTCGTTCCATAGTTTTCTTCTTGTCCTTTTCTCGTTTCTCGTCTGCCATCTGTTTGCGCTTCTGTGATTTTAATTGGGCTTTCTGTATTGCTTCAGCGGTCATTACCTTTTCTTTATACCCGGTTGGAAGCGCCATCAGTAATTCACTGCCAAGGTTAGTTTCCTTGTCAGTATTTCGCTCATACATGGCCCTCTGTCTCGCAGTCATCAGCTTGGGATCTTTTGGTTTGATTTTCTTGAGTTCGTCGTCCACCTCCTCCAATTTACCGGATTCAATCGCATCAAGCCATCGTTCTTCTTCACTGGACGTGCCACTGTCCCTTCCTTTGCCTTTCTTTTTCTTCGACGATTTTCCCACGGAAGCACCTTTACCTTGTGGGGTAGTTTTTACCGAAGGTCCTGGAGAAGCCATAACGGATGTGGTTGATGCCACCGCAGGGATCGCTATTGAACTTGAAGGTTCTGGATCTGTTTCTGCTTCAACTTCGGTGATAATTTCCGGCTCTAGATCTGCTTCCATGTATTCGATCTCCTCCATAACTTCCACCGTTTGTTCCACTTCCTCCGGGACATAGTCGTAAGATGATGACACAAAGGGCTGCGGTTGAGATTTGCTCTTTTTGTGTTTCTTGTGTTTTTTGTGCTTCTTATGAGAGAATCCATGGAAATCATCGCCTACAAGAAAGAAAAATTGCTATCACAAATTTTAACAAATCACTATGCGTCGAACCTTCGCGATCTAGATAGATATCTTTTTTCTTCCCCATTTCACGCGGTGGGAAAACTCGGGGCTTGCAATTTCCGTCCTGATATTAATTTTCGCTTCTTCCGGAGTGATAAGAAAATACTGAAATTGCAGAAGTGGAAACAAACAAGGAAAAGATCCCAAGCAAACGTTTGTCTCCTTCTAATTTGTCAAAAATGGATCAGGCTTCACGCACACAAACGAGTGAAAGTAAACAAACTCAATAATATCACGTTCAAAGGAAGCAACCCAGAATCGTTGGAATTTTTACATTATGTTACACGCTCGTTCAATTTTATTCTAAGATCAGATTTTTTTTATAAATATTGAACGGAACATGGGAGATGAGTGAAAAGAACTTAATTTTGGGTAATTTTTCGGTTCCGTGTAGATGGAGCTCAGCAGGCATGTCTAAACGCAACACTACACTGCGTACTGCCTTTTTTACACACCACCAAGAGCATTGAGTTGTACGCTCCGTACCAGTGCTCGATAGAAAACACCAAAAGCAGCAAACAAGGCACCGGTACCGGTGCCCGTGCATAATTGTTTGCCCCGGTGTATGGATGCTTCGGCAAGCACCAAAGCCGAGTGTTTCTGACTTCGGCAAACACCGCAGCCGAGTGTTTTAGATTTCGGAATACACGCTTGCTGCTCGTAGGATTTTTTTTTTGGGCGACTTCTGAAAGATTATCGTCTTACACAAGGTAGCTCTTATACGCTTTTAGCATCTTCCATTTGAATTTACCTAATAGACGAGTGGCCAAAGCATTGGTCTAATAATGAGCGCAATGACAGCGGAAGCGGAACGGCAGCGGCAGCGGAAAAACCCGATCTGAGTAAGCCTAATTATCGGATTGAAAGCTACCCGAAAAAAAAATTACAGTGAAATTTTCAGTGGAAACAATGCTCTAACATTAATATTTATTGTCGACAATAAAAATGATTGTTATAATGTTGTACCCTTCCGAAAACGGCAAAACTGCCACCTAGATGTACAATGAATATACATAATAAAATGTTGTTACAATGATTTTTATTGTATTTTTCATTTATTTTATTGTTAACATGATTCGATCACGAACAATAATGAACAACTCTATTACAATAAAAATTGTTGTTACATTAAATATTGGTGTGTTTTCATTGTGGGTTACTTCACGAACAATAAAAATAAATCTGATTGAAGCATGCAGAGCAATTTTCGTCTTATTGTTACATTGTTTTTTATTGTATTTTTGTTGTTATTTTTTTTCGGGTAGTTAGAACCAAATCGACTTCGGTTATGCATCTTGATGTCATTTGTGACAACTGTCAAACTTTCCGTTTCCGTTCCGCTTCCGCCCACATTGCGTTTGGGCCTTGAAAGCTGGGGGGGGGGGGACGTGCTGTCAAATCAGCCTACTGATCATCTTGTATGAAACTGGTTCCAAACGTAAACAAACGCTGTAGGTTTCTTATGGCTTGTTTACGTTTGGAACCAGTTATGCGAGGTAGGCGAAGATTGTTCGTATTTGACAGCCACCTCCCCCCCTTGCTTGAAAGTCCATAGCTCGATTCTAGTCTGTCCCCTTCCTTTGTTTTTGTCAGCAATATTTTCATAAGGTAAATCTATGAAATTCATTTCGATTTCTTTTGGCTAAAAAGTTGTCCCTCTTCAATATTTTTGTCAACATTGTTTTCATAAGGTAAATCTATGAAATTCATTTCGATTTATTTTGGTTAAAAGCATTACGCAATCTTATAAATCTTATGAGCTCAAGGGATCATCTACCAGGATTATTAAAAATACACAAATCACCCACTTCGGAAGAGCGTGTTGCTGTTGCCGTCCACCCACTGGTATTTCTTGGCTTTATATTAACTAATTTAACTGATTGTTTTAACGTTCAACTGCAGACTACACGGCGAATGAGAACTACTCAAATTTGAGTTTAGTTCACTCATAATCGCCAAAAGTGCAGGAACTCAGCGATGAGTAAAATTTGTCTCATGGTTTCCTGTGGAAAACCTAAAAAATCTTCCGGAAAATGAGGAAATTGACAAAAAATTTATTCAGTCTCGGAGTAGTACCAACAATCAATACGAAACTAACGATTTTAAATTGGCTCACCACTTTAGTAGCCTATTGGTCCCAAGCAAACGATTAACGTACCCTATTCTAGTTGAAATTCTATTACTACACTATGTTTGTTTTGATTCGCTATGAAAGTTTGACAGATAACATCAGGGGTGTGTGGATTCATGCAGAACATGCAGGGGTGAGTGAAATAGCTTGGGACTGCTTGGGACCGTTGTTCTGGTACTGAGTGAGCCAAAAATAATAATGATTTTCTTCGGGACCCAGTGGTCTTAGAGTTACCTCTATGGTAGTACCATAGAGGTAACTCTAAGACCACTGGGTCCCGAAGAAAATCATTATTATTTTTGGCTCACTCAGTACCAGAACAACGGTCCCAAGCAGTCCCAAGCTATTTCACTCACCCCTGCATGTTCTGCATGAATCCACACACCCCTGATGTTATCTGTCAAACTTTCATAGCGAATCAAAACAAACATAGTGTAGTAATAGAATTTCAACTACAATAGGGTACGTTAATCGTTTGCTTGGGACCAATAGGCTACTACAATGGTGAGCCAATTTAAAATCGTTAGTTTCGTATTGATTGTTGGTAGTACCAATAGACTGAGTGAATCCAATCTTTACTTTTCTCAAATTCAGGAATTTTTCCCTGGAAAATCCTGGAAAAACCTGGGAAAACACGAGGCAAATTAACCCGCATAAACGCGAACCATATCTTGACCTTACCGAAAATGGTTAAAAATTGTTTATAATCCTTGCTAAACTTTAACTGAAATGGTTATGGAACTTTACATGAACGTTTGTGTGATAAAGTTTTAACCTTATTGATCGTTCAACCCTTGCACATCGTGAGCCCCCTAGCTTCACTACCAACAACAGAGAGAACTAAGTTGAAGTTTCGATTCAGTGTTTTAGAGTATTAATAAAGACGCAGTTCAGATTGGACGTATTTTGATTTTAATTCGACACAAATCAACCGAAAACCAATCCATTGAGCTATTTTTATAAACATTTGGTCCTTCGAACCGGATATTGATGGTTTTTATGTTGGTTTGGGCCGAAATTCAGTGAAAAAAGTGTACTTTTCCGCAAATTTGCACCGTGTGCAAATAAATCGGCACTCTGCCATTCGACGCTTCGTACCCGCGGTCCTACCGTTGTGTGTGTGCGAGTGCGAATCATGTTGTGACGTGTCCGGAGCACGAAACAAAAATAAAATTGGATGCTGCCGTGCAGCAAGTACTTTTTCGTGGAAGTTGCTCGTAGCAACTAATCAAAAGCACATAAGTGCTAGTGGAAGCTGAGTTTTCGCGTTGAAGCTGAACAAAAACACTAGGACGTTGGATGCTGCCATGCAGCAAGTGCAAGTGTTGAAGCTAGTTCCTTGACACAACAGTGAAACAAGTGCAAGAGTGTTTTTTTTTTCGTATGCAAACTGCTCGTAGCAGTCGAACATAAACCAGAACTTTGGATGCTGCCGTGCAGCAAGTGCTCGTATAGAAACTTTACCCTACATGAGTGGAAAAAAACCCCAGCGATGTTACCCCAAAAGTGTTGCGAAACATAACCCCGAAGAATTTGTTGGATGCTCTGCTTGGATCGGTGTCGAATTGTCAACCTGCGGGAACAGTGGCACAACAGAAAGCAGCGCAAGCAAAACGATTAGAGCAGCAAAAAATGGAGCAGAATCTCGTTAGGTTGTTGGATCGGCGCGATCTGTTGAAGGTGAAGCTATTCCAGATTGCAGAAGAGCTAGAAGAAGAGTCGAATCTCGAGTCGAATAATATTCACTGGCTGAATTTGCAGATGGAAAATATACGTCGGTGTTACGATGACAACGAGAAGATACATTTTGAGATTTGTGATATCGTCGCTCGGGAGCATCGAAAGGAGTACACGGAGGAGTATTTCCGTTATAATAAATACCACAACAAGTTGTTCGTGAAGATCCAGACTGCAATTTCGAAGCTGAAGAATGATGAAGACAAAGCGAAGCAAGAAGCGCAGAAACTCCCAGTAGCATCGCTCGTACCACAGCAACCGATTGTGGTGAATGCTGCTGCCCCGCATTTGCAAGTACCGTTGCCGACTTTCGATGGAAACCTCGAGACTATCATGGACAGGTATCCGAACGAGTCTCCTGCGATCAAGATTTATCATCTGAAGAACTCTAGTTCGCGGTCGAGTGAAGATAGAGCAGCCCTCGTAGAGATTTCTTCTACGGCAGTTCTACCTTCCATCAATCGTCCGTATGGTCATCTCGGAATCAGAGAGGTAGAAGATGAACAATCCTCATCTACTGATGCTCCTCTTTTCGACGATTCGGACAATCCTGACAGCGGCTTGAATGCGGAAGCTCAGTCTTTGGGATTCAATCCGGAGGATCCGGAGTTGCCGCCGATGTGGTCATATGATTGTATGACAGATGATGAAGGAGTCACCATCGAATCGTTGATGGCAGGATTTAACCTGTTCCTTTATCAGATCAAGATGTCCAAAAATTTGGTTCTTGAGAAGGTGGGCATCCAAGGGAACAGGTTACAAGGATTTGTCTCCACTGTGCAAGAGTCCTCTTCCACTACACTTTGGGGATCTGCCAAATCGAATGCCACTGTGACAGAAGTAACTCCTAATGTATCAGAGGATGCTCCGTCTTGCTCCTTTCATTATAAAGGAAACATATTCCAGCGACAAGACACACGAACGCAGACAGATCCTCAAAGTGGAGATCTGCTAACAACACCAGATCCGCCCGTGATTGATCCAGCAATCAAGCTTCCCATAAAGACTCTAGCTGTTCCCATTCATCAGATCAAGACGAAGCAGACTTCCGAACCTGGCAAAGGTGACAAAAAGGCGAAGAAGAAATCCTCATCAAAGTCAGAGGGTAAGTCGACCAAAGAGGATGTAGAGTCGAGAGATCCGTCCCCCTTTACTCACATCGTGATTCGTCTTCCAGGAAGAACCGGTATCAATAAGCCAGTACTCTTGAAACTTGATTACAAAAAATACAGAGCCATCGCAGAATCCGACATTGTGATTGAACAAAAAATCATTCGAATTCTGAAAGAAGGCAAAATGTATATGCGATACTTCCATTGCTGCGATTATTCTCGAGGAGAAATGGAATTCACCTAAAAAGTTAACAAAACTCATGAAAAAAAAAAAAAAAAAAATGTTTATAAAAATAGCTTAATGGATTGGTTTTCGGTTGATTTGTGTCGAATTAAAATCAAAATACGTCCAATCTGAACTGCGTCTTTATTAATACTCTAAAACACTGAATCGAAACTTCAACTTAGTTCTCTCTGTTGTTGGTAGTGAAGCTAGGGGGCTCACGATGTGCAAGGGTTGAACGATCACTTATGTATTATGGTTTTTTGGAAGTGAACCTTACAAACAATGGGTTGTTAAGAACCATTACCATTTAAAATTTTAGTTTTCTCCATACATTTTCGGAAAGAGAACTATATTAGAACCTTTTTACTTATGGTTTGAGAACTTTAATGGTAATGGTTATGGTATTCAGTAAGGTCCATGGATGGTTTTGTAACATCGATCAACTTTATGTGGAATATATCGCGAATAGGTTGCCTGTAAATTAATGATTACCAATTCGTGATATATTCCACGTAAAGTTGACCGACAATACAAAACCATACATGGACCTTACTGACTACCATAACCATTACCATTACTGAATTTTTTTTCAACACAACAGCGGGGCCCTGTTTACTAAAAATGAACACATGAATAATGCTCGCGTAACATTTGAAAAGGGTCTGTCAACTTTTGTAAATAATTTGCTAGGTCCTTTTCACGAAAACCGAAGTACGCCCACGCAAACCAAGAGCACTATCGGGAAGGGCAGAATATCCTCTGCCCTATACTGTTGTTAGTTTGCGTGCGCGTATTCGGTTCGCGCGAAAAAGGCCTAACAAGTTTTGTGCACAGCAAAAAAAGTTGTTGAATATTACATCGAAACTGCTGCAACCAGGTCAATCCATCGGTTGAGTAATATCACATTGTACGATGTACATCGATTTTGCGAACAAAATTACATCCATTGATGTAATATTGTATCTGCTTTTTGCTATTACATCATTATTTCATACATCAGCTTGAATTACGTTGATCGATATTACATTTTTTTTTGCTGTGTGTACATAATGTTACGTGAGTATTATTCATGTGTTCAGGGCCCCGCTGTTGTGTCACTTTTTGTCGAGTGAGTGAATTCAAATCCATCCGTGCACTCGTCTATATTTCCTTCATACACAAAAAATGAGTAGCTTTGGTTAACCGTGTACCCTGGGCATCCCTACACGGTAAGAAAAAAGTACCCAACGGAAAGTTTACTTTTACCTATTTTTGACTAGTTTGTCTCCTTTTCTCCTTCTAATGTTGTCAAAAACGGAGGAGCAAAACCACCCAACAGGGGTAGTAAAGTGTGGGAACCCAACGTTGAGTATAATCATATTTACCTACTGTTGGGTACAACTAACATACTTTTGGTTAAAAAGCCAGTGGAAAATTCCATACGAACTGCACATAAGTAAATGAAAATTACTTTGACCCGCTTTACCTACTTTTGGGTTCCTGCACTATAGTGCCGAGATGAGTGAAAAGAACTTAATTTTGGGTACTTTTTTCTAACCGTGTATAAGTTGATTTGTTGTTTGTTTGTTTCCGTATCGATTGTTACAAAAAAAAAAAAAATATGGAAAAAATACTATTAAACTGCAGCTTACCAATTAAAATAATTTTAGAATAGAAGGAAGTGCTTCAAGTGCTAACATTTAATTTATTTTCTCGTTGATAGGCAACAGCTGGTCGGTAAGTACGATGCGCGATTCGTTGCCTATTTCCGCCTATTTGTTTCGATTTAGGTTGTGTTTAGCTAAATTTCATAAACCCGAATGATTTCAGTTCAGCCTCTGCTAAGACATGTCCTCGGAAGCATCTGAAACAGAATGTAAACAACGGGTCTCTAACCGGGGCAAAAACTTTTCTGTTGCTGAAGATAAACAAATTTGCCTATCCTGGATGTATGCCTCGAAAATTTGTAACCAATCTGTTTCAAATAACATATATATCTGGGGTATTTTGTACGACCATGCCGTTACCAAAGAGCAGGACCTTGAGGCTCGGACAGCCAGCAGCTTACGGCATCGATTTTTATCGATACAGCGTGAAGTCAGGAAGTTCTCGGACATTCATAATCTTATTAATCCAGATGAAACGGAATCCGTCTTAGAAAACGCGTTGCAGACCTACAAGAGTTGCTACAAAACACACTTTAAGTTTCTGCAGTGCTGGGAGATATTGAGGGAATATCCTAAATTCCTGCAAATGGCCGAAACTCATTCGAATGTCGTAAAAATATCCATCGAAAAAAAGGAGGCGGAGAATCCGGAGATTATGAAAGCTGCAAGTCCTTTTGCAGAATCGGTTCGTAAAAGTTCACGAGGTTTAAATGTTCTACCAGATGAAATACAAGCTCTGCTGAAGGCATGCCGCGATGTTGGTGTAGAAGAGGCGCGATCCAAAGGAGAACGCATAGAACCATTGCTGTATGACGTTCAACAACAGATGGCCAATTATGGCAGATTTTCGGAGAGAAAACTGTATGTGGTTAAAAAACAATACCTCAGAACGGAGAAAAATTACCGGAATGGTGATCTAGTACCATATCCTCCAGAGGCGCGAATTCTGTGGGGGAAAAATGACACTAGCAAGGATGGTTTGTAAAACGTTCTGAAGAAACCTTCTGACATTCATAACATTTTTGTTTTTAGATGAATCGAATGATGCGAGCTGGAACAATCAGATTCAGTATAATTTAGATCATTGGAAAGGTTTATCATTTCTGTCAGATTTGGAAATCCAAGAATTGCTTAAGGAGGCAGTTAAGAAAAATGTGGAATCAATTTCCCAAGCCAAGCGAAAGATTATTTTCTATGATATCCTATCGACCATGCATGCTAAGAAACTTTGTCGCAGGAAGAATGCAGAGCAACTGCTACAGGATTACCTCAGGCTGAAGAAACAGTTTTCGACTGGCATATGTAAATATCTACCTGTAGAGGCGACTCTACTTTGGACATCTGATGGGACTGAAGAAGAGCCAGTGGAAGAGGTGCAAGAAGAACCAATTCTTCAACCAGTGGATGAAGAGCCAATGCTTCAAATCAGTTTCGCAGATTGTACGTTGAAAAGTGAAGTCGCAGACGTATGTCGTATATGCCAAGCAGAGCTGTTTGATCAAACGTATGACCTGTTTTTGGATGTGTACAAAAGTCAAACATATGCAGCTATCATAAAGGAGGCACTGAATGTCGAGGTAACTCAGGCGTAAAGGTATATGATTTATTGAAGCAGACCTAACCAGTACTTATTTTAGATGGCCAATGATGGACGGAGCACAGTGATATGTGATCACTGTACAACATTCATAGAAAATCTTGTTAATTTCGTGCAACAATGTCGCGAAAGTTGTGTCACGAATGATTCATATCGAGAAGATTTTACGTTTGAAAAACACGAAACACTGGAGTTTGAAGCATCGTTGGAATCGGACGGTAACCTGAAAGATGAACATAAGAACTTGATTTCGGCCGATTATATCATCGATGATGCTGAATACCTTATGAACGACGATGACATTCTGAATGAAGTTAACGAGGCAACAAATGACGACACGAGTCCCCCTGAAGCCATTCCTGTTGAAGACATAGCTGAGGAGACACTTGATGAGGATACCCGTAAGAAAAGGAACTATCGCAAGTATTTGGAAAGCCGAACACCCAATCGTGGACAAAAACGACAATGTCACCTGTGTGGGAAAAAGGTTGTTGGATTGGTCGACCATCTTGAAAGTCACAGTGGGAAGGAGTTCAAGTGTAATTTTTGTGACTGGGTTTGCCCAAATCGAAGGCAGCTCCGGATTCACATGAATCGACATACGAAAAAGCACGTCTTCCCGTGTCGTTACTGTGACAAACTTTTCTACGTTTGGTCGTCTCGGAAGAACCACGAGGTGAGATTGTAAATGCGAAAAGGTTCAAAAAAAAATGTATGTATATATATTCTACATTGCAGGACACTCACACCAAATCGGCGTACAAGTGTGATATTTGCGGTATGGAATATAAACACAAAAGCTACTTTTTAGCGCACAAAAAGGCCATACATCTCGGAATTCGCAATTTGAAATGTACTCAGTGCAAATTCAGCACGTTCATAAAGTAAGGTTTGCAATTTTGTTTACTGCAGGATTAATTCTGAAGCAATCCCAACTTTTACTTGCAGAGCTCGGCTGCTCAACCATGTCCGTAGTATACACACCAGTGAACGTCCGTACAAATGTTCCGTGTGCGAGCACACTTCGAACAGCAGCACAGGATATTATATTCATTTTCAAAGACATAAGAAGAGTGGCGAAGTAGTTGACTATTCGATCAAATGTGCCTACTGTAAGGAACTGTTCGCCAAAGATGCAGCACTGGAGGCTCATATCGTTAAGGACCATCCCGACCGCGCGGTGAAAATTTGATTTGATTTAATCGAACGAACTTCAATAAATATTCTAACGCTGTTTAACTGGCGGATGTATTTTTTTTTTCCTTTGGTTTGTTTTTTCCGTCGATCTTGTTTTCCGTGCTGAGCACCAATGCTACCGACGTGCCAGGAAGGCAGCTCCCACACCTGGACCCTACCTATCGACCCATCAAACTCATGAACCGGGGACCAACGGCTTTACTTCCCATCCGAAGGAAGGCGTGATCAGAGATGTTATGCCTCAGGCCTGCTGGGGTGAGAGGTAATCACGCTTACCACTACACCACCGGCGCCGTTAACTGGCGGATGTAAAAATGCTTTTGAAAAAAAAAACAAATCCCTCCACATTATCCAAAATATCTGTTTTATAACAATGGGGAATGCTGGGTAAAAGAAAACAGCACATGAAACACCGGTCATTTCAACTCAAGTATGTGTAAAATGTTCGTAGTTGTGTTCAATTAAACATATTTCATCCAAATTATGACAAAATGCTTATTTTGCTATTCTGACAAAATGTCTTTTTGGATTTCTTAAGCGCTTGGTTCTCTCTGGGCTACAATCCTGGAATTTTGAGATTTTTAGATATTCATCAATTTTTTGGATTTTGTTCGAACGAGAGTAACTTGATGGTATTCTTTACTTAAAACAGCTGTTTCAATTTACAAGTTCATATCTTCTACAAAGCAGTTTATTTAAAAAAAAACAGAAATATCCCTTTGCAACTCAAACATCAAACTATAAAATTAACATAGAAAAAGTTCATGTCAGCTACTGATGTTATGAGAACGTCTACAAATCATAATTTCTGTAGATTTTTTTTACCGTCATTGGTCGAAAGGTACAGCAGCAGCAGCAGCAGCTACCCTACCCGTGTCCCCTCGAGATCGTCAAGTCGACGATGACAGGAGCACATACCGTGGTAGAGGTAACAATAGCTGCAATTTCCAAACCTACGACTGGATGCCTTCCTTCAGATAACAACTTGAGCGAGGTATAAATCGGTAGAACTGTTTCAAACACATCGTCGGTACATGAGTGTGTCGGTGATCATCTCTTCTTGCCAGTGGTAGCGGGGGGTGGACACCCCTCACCATCCCTCTCCAAAGGGGGAGTTTAGTAAGAGAGATGATAAAACCGATTTGTACCTTCCTAAAGTTGTCCTTGCTCACTTTCTACTCTCTATGTACAATTTTCACACTGCCGTACTCTAATACTCCGTACGATTGTACGACTTTTCCCCGAATACCAGTCCCCCGAAAACATTTTCCCCGAAAGTTATTGCCCCGAATGTAACTTTTCCCCGAAATACAATTCCCCGAATGGCACAGTTCCCAGAAAATAATTTCCCCGAATGTACCATTTCCCCGAATCTGCGCATCTTCGCTGGTTAACTACTTGTATCGAACAATACCACAATAAACATATTAATGTTCGTCGAATAAAGACAATAGTTTGACTTTCGTTAAAACAAAATGTAAAGGTCAAGCTCCTGAAATCGGTGTAATCCTATTTCAGCAGCTTTTGACCTTTCCATGTAGTTTTAACGAAAGTCAAACTTTTGTCTTTATTCAACACATTGATTTCTTCGTGCTCCATACAATTTTATAGCGAATTCGTTTATTATTCAGTTCCAACCTGGATCGGGTATCAAGATTGGGTCTGCTTGTTTTCTGACAAACGTCAGTTTGCTCGTTTGTTTTTAAAACCTAGCTCAGGTTGAGGTTCGCACTGACAAAAAGTTCGGTTTCGCACTGGGTTGGAACTGGTTCCAACCCCGATAATAAACGAATTCGCTATTAGATTCACCCTATAAGGAGTCGCCATGTGACTAATATGTATGGCATGGGGACGCATGATATCTTTTCTTTGTTTGTATGGAGTTTTTTTTTAACGGTCGTACCTATCAAACAAACACACACATTGTATGCAATTAGCTCCATGGATCATACATCATACCATATTATACGTCAAAGAATGAACTATGATTCAAAGAAGGAAAATTTCTTGCGACAAGCAAAATTTTACCCTTCTTTGTATCACAGCTCGTTCTTTAACGTTTTGAAGAATAAATATCTTACTAATTTATCAAAGCGATACCCTAATAAAAATTGTATGGTTAATTTGCTTAACGACGTGTTCTGGGTATCATCCAAACCATTTGTGGAATAGTTCAATGATTTGGGTTATCGTTCGTTTATGGTTATTTTTTATTAGGGTATCTCATTGTAATAAAATTGAAGAACGAGCCGTGATACAAAGAAAGGAAAATGACATCTCTTTGATAAAACCAATTAGATATAGATATTATGCGATACGTTAAGAAACGAGTTGAGCTACAAAGAAGGAACATTTCTTGAAACAAACAACGATTTTTCTTCTTTGTATAAGGGGTGATGTACAAATTATGTCACGCCCTAAGGAGGGACGTGTAGAAATCTGTGATTGATTAATTTTGCCTCAATTTCGCGTGACATAATTAATGTATGGCCCCTAACGGCTCGTTTTTTTTTAATTTGATTACGATTAGATATCAGTTTTATAAATTAGTAAGATATTTATTCTTCAAAACGTTTAAGAACGAGCTGTGATACAAAGAAGGGAAAATTTTGTTTGTTGCAAGATTTTTCCTTCTTTTTATCTTAGTTGATTATTTGACGTATAACTTGGTATGTTCCATGGAGCTAATTGCATACAATGTATGTGTGTGTGTGTGTGTGTGTGTTGGATAGGTACGAACTTTAAAAACTCCATACTAATAAATAAAAGATACCATGCGTCCCCATGCAATACATGCTATAGTCACTTTGCGACTCCTTATAGGCCGAATCCAAAATTGTATGGAGCAAGAAGAAAACACCATACACCGATTTCAGAATATTCGGTAAAAAATTACAGGAAATCTGTGAAAAATCACCGAACTGTTTACCGAACGTTCAGTTGTTCAGATTTCGGTAAAATTTCACAGATTTCGGTGAAATAATCTTAGTGTGTGACCTTTACATGTAGTTTTAACGAAAGTCAAACTATTGTCTTAAGCGAACCCCACACGGTAAGAAATATTGTCAATACTTAAAAGTATTGACAATAATATTGATGATGTGAATACAGATATATTGTCAATACCGATGTATTGACGTCAATATAAAATGCATTGACAATACGATTATTGTCAATACAAACACTCGTGTAGAGTCCACTTTAATTCGACACACATTGATATGTGTATTGTGGTATTGTTCGATACAAGTAGTTAACCAGCGAAAGATTTGATGAAACTGACACAATTTTCCCTTCTTTATATCAAAGCTCAGTCTTTATGCTCATTACAATCAGATATCAATTTGATAAACCGCCAAATGTCATAACAAGTCATAACCACAAACTTTATCTAGGGTGTTGAACGACTTTGTTCTGTTTATCAATATTCAGCAAAGATATTTTTCTCAATTTCATATAGATAAGTTGTAACAAACCCAAGGATTATATTTAAATAGATCGCACAGTGTAAATTGTATCTTTCGGGGAAATAGTGTTCGGGAAAACGTTCCTTTCGGGGAACTGGTTCATTCGGGGAATCGTATTTCGGGGCTAAAACTTTCGAGGAAAGTGTTTTCGGGGAACTGGTTTTCGGGGAAAAGTCGTACAATCCCCTGTACAGTCTATGGCTTATATCATATAATATAGACTGTCTTGCAATGAGCACTCATAGATAGGATTTCCAGTGAAAACTAGATGTATGAGTGCTCATTGCAAGACAGCCTATATTATATGATATAAGCCATAGTCTGTCTAGGGTATAACTGTTGGTATAACGAAACTATGAACTCTATACGTCTATACTTTCATATTTTTTTATCACTCTAGTCTGTTATTTGAAATTAGCATCTTCAACTAAGTTTTTTTTTAATTTTATTTTTTAACTCTATTTGTTTCAAATTCAAAATAAATTACATTTCATTTTAACCTAGGTGCTCCATCTACTACAATAACTTACCAGCCTTAATGGTTGTGATATATATCTAAGTGTTTTTACATTGTTCCTGCCTTCGCAATTCAGTATTTTAAACAGGTTTTTTTTTTTAATATAGGATATAGAAAATTCCATCATCACCTGGAGGTTTCATATTATGAAACTTTTAAGTTATAGATCTTATTTCGTCCAAATCAGTCCCCCAGGTATCATCAAAAATACTTTCTCGGGAGAAAATATTCAGATAATCCCGAGCAACCTGATTCTCAATAGGACTATTCAGATGGGCCTGAAACTGAAACTATGGGAACTCTCGAATTGCTTAGCAACTTTCTGAGTTTTTTTTTTCCGAATTTTTGATCAAAATTCCTGATAACCTTCTTTGGGGCTGTTCATAAACTTCGTAGACAGTTTATGGGGGGGGGGGGTCAAAAAAAAACTGTCTAAGTAGTTAATGAACAGCCCCTTTAAGCGCTGGAATAGGATTTGAGGTTTTTTCAAAAATTTTGTGAGTTGCCAAAAGGGTTTGAAACGCGGGTCTAATTTAGAAACATTATTTTCAAAAGTTTTGTTCCTCAGGGCAGAGAATCGCTTTTTAATTTGTTTTTGCAAATCCCGCCAGATAACTTTCATGGCAGGATCGCATGTTCTTTGATATTGTCTCCTACGAACATTTTTAAGACGGATCAAGAGCTGAAGATCGTCGTCTATTATAATTGAATTTAACATCGCATTTTGGTACTGAGGCAGCTCTTGCTTCAACTATAGAAGTAGTCAGAGATTCAAGAGCAAAGGAATGTTTGGATCGAAGTTATATTCCATAAATGTTCGATATTGCTCCCAATCAGCTCTATGGTAATTGAAAGTAAAGTCTGGAACGCGCAAAAAATGGTCAACTTCAAATTGGTGTATTTCTGTTAAAAATGCATAAAAAACCTGATATGCTGCATTTGGAAGTTGAGTGTATTTACAATGGTTGCTATGATGAGTTTTCACCGTTTGCTCTCCAGTTTTTAAAATGACGTCCAAGCAAGAGGGACAGC